ACAGTTTCAGATGGTCCTGGGTGAAACAGATTATCTGGACCCCCTTCAGTCAGGTTTTAGACCTGGTTATGGGACAGAGATGACATTGGTTGCACTTGTAGATGACGTGTTTGGCAGGAACAGGATTGGGGTAATGCATTCATCCTTGCTCTTTTTGACCTCTCAGCAGCTTTAAAGCCCTTTATGGCATGGGTTGAGGGCCTCTGAGGAACTGTCTCACTCCAATGGGATCAACCTTCCACACTCATGCCAGCAGAAAGGACCTATTTCAAATCCTATAGGCAAAGAATTTAAGTGGGTGGGATCCAGGAGAAGAGCCTCTTTTGTAAATTCAAAACCAATTTCTATTATAGATGTCGTGAAATACTCTTTTCTATGGCCTGTGAGGTATAAATCTACTTTTGATATCATCTCTATTTTGACAGATAATTTTTGTTCTACATCTTACTTTTCTTGAATAATATATTTTAAACATAGCCTATCCATGAAGCAGACATCATTACTCATATTGTTGATATTACAGGTACTATTTTCTGATTCCATTCTTCAAAAGTCTCTTAGTATTTTTATTGTCATTACATTTTGCACAGAACTGCATATCTTTCTTCTACCTAAAATCTTTAGTCTCCCTTAATGTCCAGTTTTTCAAATCATAAAATTCTTTATCTATGTCTTGTAAACGGAATTGATTTCCCATGACAAGTTTTTTGTACTTTGTAATTACTTCCATAATCTTATTCTAAAAGTTTCATTATTTCAATTTTATCTAGACCTTTAGTCTATGTATTGCTTTATCGGAACAAAATGTTTTCCTTTTTATTTCAGATTCTTTAAATTATTACACTTATAAAGCAGTTGGTTCTGCTTTTTTTTTTTTTTTTTTGGTAAATATTTTTTTCCAAATTTAAACATAAAACATAGCTTTCAAGAGCAAAAATCTCGATCCGGTCGTAGGTGGTTACCACGCTTGCATTCCTTTCACAAGCTCAATTCACAATTTGAGATTCACAATTCACAAGTTGGCTCTGCTTTTGCGGAGCTGTCTTCAGTTCACCATATTTGCACTATCACTATTTTAAGTAAAAAAGGTAAGATAATTTTCTGAGCATTTTATGTCTGCTAAAATGATGAAGATCCCCAAATATCAAAAATGAAAATCAAATCAGGTATTAATGCTGGTTCAACAAAGGTATGTCATGCATGCTTCAGTTTAACAATGCCATGGTTCTGCAAGGAAAATGATATTTACAAAATTCTTTGACACACATATAACAAGCATACAGGAACTATTTTTTCCATTAATTCTGTACTCATCATAGCACAAAATATGGGTTAGAGCTATCACTATGAAGTGAGAATGAACCTTACATCATTCATTAGAATTTTCATAAATCAAATTTGATCACCTCATTTGAGTCAATGACAAGTCAGCCTTAAATCTCAAACTGTGTGTAATCTCTCTAACCTTAAACATTTGTCCACAATAGTCGAAGGCTGGATTGCAGCAATCAGATGAATCATTTTACAGCACAAAAATAAACATTATCACTTTGTAGTAACTCAAACCAATGTCCTGTTAATCAAAACTCTGGATGAGCAAGCAAAATAAAATCTCATTGCAGATTTTCATGAAATTCAGTACCATTTGTTATTTGGTGGGTATGTGTGCAGGTGTTATTATACTGTGGATGTTAATAAGAGTCACTCGACAGTGAGATAGGCAGCATATACTGTAAATTTAGTAAGTAAATAAATAAAATATGTCACCTTGGGGCCATTAGCTGCCTAATCCTGTTCTTTAGCATGGCTAACAGGAATTCTGCTCAGTGTTACCATAGTATAAAATCTGCATATAGAATCTACAATAAGGCAATGGAAATCGATTCCCTAAACATGGGATGAAACAGTATTAAACTATCGCTTTTGTTCTCAAATATTAATATGTGCTGCTTTGGCAACTATACATTGGCAAGTTTTCAGAATAAATGCTGCCAGACAGATGGTTAAATGACACACGGCTTAATACTGTGCCTATTCACTCGGAAGCAAATCCATCAGATTTGGTGAGACTTGGGCTGCAAGAACAGTGTGTTCTGGAGTATGCCGAAGAGCAGCAGACTGAAAAGAGGACATTTTATCAGCAGAAAATCTCCTTCTAGGTGTGGGTACTAATATCACTGCATGTAATAACAAAGGTTTCCTTAAATCCCTATTCCAATTTCTCTGTTATTTTACAAACATATCAAAAGAAATTTAGACAAAAATAAGTATGCAGCTAGAAGGCAAATACCTGCTGAAACTCTGGTACTCATGTAATCCACTGCTATTTTTTCTATTTAAACTGGCTGGATTGAGATGCTACGTTAACACTACCCCCTGATTTAATCAAGCTTTATTGACTACTAGCTGGATGTCCATGCTTCGCTACGAAACTATGTGCTAAGGGTTGATAAATTGACACTTACAGCCTGAAACTTAATGTAGAATGTGTAACTCCGTAGCATCAGAGTATGTTAATATAATGCAACTGGCAGTTGGAACAGAGAGGGAGAGAGAGTAGAATGTCCCAGCCCGCAGCATCCATCCGTATTCATCTGGCTAGCATCCTGTCAGTGTGTGAGAGAGTTGAGGGGTGTTTGGAAACTCAAACAGTATTTGCTGTTTGAGCAAGGAGGAGACAGGAAGGAGGCTGGGCATGGCTTAGCTCAACTGTTCTGTAGTAAAGCTGCTTGCTGCTGTGAAAGTAAAACTGAAACTGAAAGTCCTCTCCTCTGCTTGTGTTTTGCATTTGGAACAGATTTCTTTTGAGGTGGGGAGGGGGAGTAGAACTCCTTAGCATCAGAGCGTGTTCATAATAATATAGGAAATACTAATGCTCTGATGGTCATTTCAAAAAATCCTTTCTTAATGAGCACCAAGAAACCAAGAGGAACATATGTGGCAAATTTCAAGTTTGTAGGCTTTACGGTTCTGGAGATTTCGTGATTACGGCGTGAATGGTTTTTGCTTTTATATATATATAGATATCATAGATGACTGTGTTCATACAACTTACTAAAGCTATAAACCAGGGTTTACAAACCCACAGTAAGAGTCATACATTACCTTAAGCCCAAATCAAGCAAACCAGTGTGGTTTAGAACAATGTATGATTTATGCCATTATAACCACAGTTGTCCTGGCAACAATGCCAAAATGGCTAAATGTGTCTTTCGTATTTGTATCCTAATATCACAGGTAATTACATAAGGAGTTTAGTCTGCATTGTGATGTCATATTTCTGTTACACAGACACAGACACACACCACATATTTATAATGCTGAAAAAGGAAAAATATTTCTCAACAAATAGCATACCATTTTCTGAAATGAAAGCTACAGTCTTAGAAAGAATAAATTAAAGAGGTTTAACCAGAATAGTTGTTAGTGTTGAAAGACCAGCTGCCAATACATTAAACTTGCAGGGTTCCTAACAGCCAATGGGAAAATTATAAGAAAACTATGAGAGAAATGCAGACCACTGAAACAGTCTGGCTTTGATGGATTTGGTAACATTATTGATTTGATATTCTGTCATCACTCTTTCTCTTCAGCTTTTCAGTTTAAAATGTAGGGATCGGTCAGAGATCTTTTCTCTCAAACACTCTCATTCTTTTTCTTGTAAATTTCTTCGTGAGCAGATGTACGTGGTATTTCTGCACAATAACATAAAGCTTTGTAGAATCTAGAATCTATCATATATAAGTACTTTTCAAGACAGCTGTGCTGATAAAACGATATAACCTGTCTAGACAATGGCTGGATTCCTGGAAACCATGGGATAAAACCCAGTGCAAAATGAGAGATTTTCTGTCCCCACACCTTCTGTTCAAGTAAGTCCCAGTCTGATTGCAAGTCCATGACAAAAGGCAGTGAAAAATGTAAAATGTCATATGACTAAATTATCCTTGTTTCTTCCTATAGCAGCACACATCATAGAGCAGCAATCTGATTATTAGGTAGTCCTTGATTTATTACTGGTTGCCTAGCGACCATTTGAAGTTCTGATGGACCTACTAGGGCAGGGCTGTCAAACTTGTGGCCCGTGGCCCAGATGTGTCACACGCTGGCCATGCCCACACCTGGTTTAGCGAATGGGGAAAAGTTGCAATATGTCACGTGATGATGCTGTGATGACACGAGTTTGACACCCCTATACTAGGGGGTGCTTATGACCCGGATTCAAAGTTTGGATGGTCATCTCCTAGTCATGTGATCACATTTTGGGCACTCGACAACTAGGCTCATTTATGGCCATTTGCAATGTCCCGCAGTTCATGGGACCACATTTTATGATGGTTTTGCCAAAAACCAGCATTTACTTCTGGTTTGGGGGGAAAAAACGCATAATAGAGAACCATAGGTTTGCTTAATGACTGTAGGGTTCACTTAATTACTGCAAAAAAAGGTCATAAAATTAGGTCAGTCACATAACTGTCCTGCATTATAACCATTATAAGTTACAACCATTAAGGCAGTGGTGAAATTCAGACGGTTCTATCCGGTTCGCACAAATCGGTAGCGCCGGTGCTGGGAGGCTCTGCCCACCCACCGAGACATCCTTACATCCTGTTTTTGATCCTCTCTACATGTGCAGAAGACTCTGCGCACGTTCACATTCCCAAACTGGTAGCTAAGGTAAGTGCATTTCACCGCTGCATTAAGGGCAGGCTCCATTATGGTTGCAACTCGAGGATTCCCTATATCGATCTTTACAAATGATGCAACTCTCCTTTTAGCTATGGTATCAATCAATTTGGCTATACCTTCTATATTATGTACAGAATTAAGTTCAAGACCAGTGACAATCTTTTGAGAAGCTTAACAGGAGTCACTCTGTATGACTTTTTGGAGAATGTGAGTGAACTTCAAGCACTTCCCTAGCTTAGGCTAAATTTAAAAAGACGACCTAAAATACAGAGGGAAGAAGGCAGGCAATAAAATACATATAAATGTTCAAATCTGTTTGCAGGTGTTTTATTGTTCTACATAAAGACTTCAAGTGACTCTTACTGTGCAGCAGAATTAGCTGGTTGATTTTGGGAAAGTTCCCATTACATAATATTTCTGTTTTGTTTTTAAAAGAAATGTGTGGCAGCTGTTATACAGGCCTCATCATTATTATTTTCAGAATTATAAAGGAATGCTATTAATGAAATAGGCTAGCTAGGATTTCATTTGTCTGGAGCAGTCCTGGTGCATAGTGGCAGATATGTGTGAAGGAATCAAAGAGGGCAGTTACCCCAGGTGGCACCGATCTAGAATGATTTCCTTGAAAAAAGTTACTAAATGATCATGGTAATCAGAACAACAATGGAAAGATGGATGGCAAGCATCAAAAGAATAGAAGAAGATGCTTGAATAAGTCTGTGTTTCCACCAAGTCTTGAGGCAGCAATGATGAGATGGGAAGTTCCAACCCCAAAGCATTCTGGGAAAACAAACAAATACAATATTAGTTTACAGTAGGGGTATCAAACTCAGGTCGTCACGGCAGCGTCATATGACGTATTGGGACTTTTTTCTCCTTTGCTAAACTGGGCGTGGCCACCATGGGCCGTGAGTTTAACAGCCCTGGTTTACAGGGTACAAAGCAGTGTGTATCTCAACCTTGCCAATTAAGCTGTGTGGACTTCAATTCCCAGAATTCCTCAGCAATTCTGGGAGTTGAAGTCCACACAGTTTAAAGTTGCCACGATTGAGAAACACTCATACAGGAGATAATTGTTTGGAAATTTAAAAGAGACAAGTACAGCCCCAGCAATTTTAAAAATAGCAGTGATTCTTAAGGCAGCAAAAATGAGGATTTATTTTAATCGAGCCCATTAAAGAGGGACATATTCTTTCTCAATTTTAGTGGAGGACAGGGCTGTTTTTAAATCTAAGAACAGTTCACATGCAAACAATAATTAGCATGCCATTTACCATTCAATATTTAGTTTCTGATTAGCGTATCTTGTGATTCAGAATTTGAAGTTAGGGAACTTTAGCACTTTTAGAAGCAAACTACCTGAGCCTTTCTTTTCTACTTTTATATCAGGAAGGAGAGATCTATGCTAATGAGGTAACATTGCAGTGGCTTCCTTGGCTTTCAATTGATTCCTATGCAGGTACATGCTCACTTTTTCTATGGCACAATAAGAAGTAGCAAGTGGCCTTTATTGGCAACGGGGCAAGCAAAAAGTGTAGCTCTGGCCTCAGTCTCAAGTTAATGGTTTATGGCCAGCAGCAGAGGGTGAGATTCCAACTAGAAAATACTATAATGTGGTAGGTCACTTTGGTATCCCATTAACTGGACTCCTTTAGAAGAACAGAGATGTGATGATAGACCAGACGTGTGGTGGGGAAACTCAAAGGTTCTACATCTGGAGCACACCAAGTATTTGAAGAAAATACTTAGGAGTTCAATTTTAAGTTGAGGGTTTAGAAAAAGAATTATTGCGGCCAGAAGGACATATTAAAGTGCCCTATTGATCAGCAGACCAAACTGCCATGGTCAGGCAGAAATTGCACATAAGTGGCTGAGAATGACAAAGAAATAGCTCGGGACAACTTTAGCATTTGGGAAAATGTATTTTTCTCTCCCTCGCTCTTTTCCACCAGCTAGGAATGATTTAAGTACAATCTGAATATGAAACTGAGGAGGAAGAGGAAATCCAAGGTCTATCAGCTAGTATTGTCTATCTACAGACAAAGAGGTGCTTTCCTCTGGATGATTGATCGGGCAGTAATGTAATGCTTTTTGAAATGCTTAAACTATATGTTGAGCTTTATTTTCAAAGAAGCTCAAGTAGTACTGAACTAGGTAGATCATCAAAGATCTTCTGCATCAAAGGAAGCCAAATCCAGATCAGCACTGTCCACCCAAAATCTTCTCACCACTTGGGGCATCTAGTATGCAACCTATTGCTAAGTTAGATAACCGAACTAGCTGTGCAGAAAAAAACCCAATTTTAATTAAACACCAAATCTATAGCTCAAATAACAGTACTGAAAACATTTACTACAGTGGAATACAGTAATAAACCTTGTCCCATAAACTGCTATAAACTCATCAGGAAACATGGTTTCAAGGTGCTAAATCAATTAGTAAATAACTTATTTAAATAACTCTAACCTACAATCATTTCAAGAATTAAATATTTATCCCCAGTGAATTACTAGGATTAATTAATTCACATATGGTTGAGCATGGTTTATTGAAGAAATGTTCTTGACTGGGTTTATATATAAATGTACACTATACCCCACAGTTGACAGACCACAGTGGAGAGCTTCAGATAATATGCCAAATGAAAGCCACACCATATTATGGGCCAGTGTGAAGCAAGCCTTAATACATTTAATTAATTCATGACACACTGGGGCCAGAGCTCAGACAGTAGACATGATTTGACAAATACTGTATATAATAATTTAAAATTTCCCTTCTCACCCCTATGAGTTGTTTGCATCTTCCTCAGTCTGGGGTCCTCTACCAGAAACTTGGGACTTTGAGAATTTTGCACAGTACCTTAGCTGTTCTTAGCACTGCACTCTTCTGGGCAGAGATTTCTGATGTTGTTCATGGAATCTGATGAAGCCACTCACCCGCTTAAGAGTCACAGCTCCAAGTGCTCTTACCACCATTCTGAGACCACTTTGGTCTTTATTTCCACATCCTCTCTGTTTTCTCCTTCAGGCCCTAATATTCTCCAACTTCTCATACTCCTTCCTGATGTTGCTGTCACTTAATACCAGGGGTCTCCAACCTTGGCAACTTTAAGACTTGTTGTCTTCAACTCCCAGAATTGAATTCTTATACTGAAGTCTTATAGTTGCCAAGGTTGGAGACCCCTGCTTAATGCCACTACATCTATCACCACTGCTGTTTTCTGGTCTGATATGCAGTATATTAGAACCATCAAACTCCCAGACCTATAGTAGAGGACCTGAAATTGAAGAAGACATACACTACTCATAGAAGTGAGAAGGGAATTTATATATCAGCACATGCTCACCTTCAATCTAGGTGTCTGTCTTCTCAGTCAGATCCAGTAGGATCTTGGTGACACTTTCTTTCATACTCCTGGGAGCTCCAAAGAATGGTATTTGTCATTGTGATGGTTTCATCTGTAGTCTCCTCCAATCCCATTTCGCAGTTTATATTTCCATCTTTTTCATCTGAAGGGGTTTCTTCTGAAGGTTCCCCTGTTCCTTCGAAAGGCTCCCCTGTTCCTTCTTCTGAAGGCTCCCCTGTTCCTTCTTCTGAAGGCTCCCCTGTTTCTTCTTCCGAAGGTTCTCCAGTTCCTTCTTCCGAAGGCTCTCCTGTTCCTTCTTCCGAAGGCTCCCCTGTTCCTTCTTCCGAAGGCTCCCCTATTCCTTCTTCCGAAGGCTCCCTTGTTCCTTCTTCCGAAGGCTCTCCTGTTCCTTCTTCCGAAGGCTCTCCTGTTCCTTCTCCTTCACTGTTACTGCTCTCAATGGTCTCCCTTTCTTCTTCTACTACAACAGCAAAAAAATCTTCACTCGTGGGACACTCCTGAATTGATTCTTCTTCTGCTGATCTTTCCATCAAAGGTTCTTCTTTATCTTTTTCTTTTTCATTGATCTGTGATACTTCTGTTATCAGCTGCTGTATCCCTATTAAGAGAGCTTCTTCTACATCTGCAAGTGTTATCATTCCTTCTCTCATCTCTTCTCCTGTGTCTGATTCATCCTGTTCCTTCTCTTCTTCAGGAGCTATGACTTCCTCCTGTACTTCCATGTAAAGAAATGTTTCCCTTGTTTCAGCTTCGTCAGATACTCCAGTTTGGAGACCAGGTTCTTTTTTCATTTCCTGCTTTTTCATATCTCCTCCAACAAATGCTTCTTTTTGTGGGGCTGATTCAGAAGTATGTTTTATTTCTGCTATAATTTCTTCTCTCCTGGTTACTAATCCTTGCTCTCCAAAGGTGGTTTCATTTAGAGATCCTATGACCACAGAAAGTAGTTCTCCCTTTGCTTCTGAATCTTCTGTTTCTGCTTCCTGTTCTTTTGGTACAACTTCAACTCCTGCCTCCTCTTCAAATGCTACCTCAGTCTCTGGCTTTACAGTTTTTGCCTTCTGTTCCAAGGCTATCTTGCCTTCTGCCTTCTTTTTAAGTATCCCCTCAGCTTCTGCCTCTTCTGCTTCTAAGTCCTTTCCAGCTATCATTTCAGACTCTGCTTCTATAGTTTTTCCTTCCCTCTTAAGTGTCATCTCGGCTTCTGCTTCTTCAGGACCTAACTCCCCTTTAGGCACCATCTTAGTTTTGGCCAGTCCAGTTTCTGCCTTCCTTTTGAGTGTCCCCTCAGCTTCTGCCTCTTTGACTTCTAATTCCTCTTTAGGTATCACATCAGCCCCTTCCTCTATAATTACTGCCTTCTGTTTAAGTGCTTTCTCTATTGCCTTTTCTTTAAATGTCAACTCAGCTTCTGCTTCTTCAACTTCTAATTCCCCTTTAGATATCATCTCAGCCTCTACCTCTCCAGTTTCTGGCTTCCACTTCAAGGCAACCTTGCCTTCTGTCCCCTTTTTAAGTGTCCCCTCAAGTTCGGCCACTTCGACTTCTAATTCCCTTTCAGCTATCTTATCAGATTCTGCCTCTATAGTTTCTGCTTTTTCCTTAGCTGTCACCTCAGCTTCTGCTTCTCCAACATCTAACCACCCTTCAGTTACCACCTTGTCCAGTTGTTCAGGTTCTGCCTCTTTTTTAAGTATCATTTCAGCTTCTGCTTCTTCAACATATAACTCCTCTTTAGGTGCCACTTTAGCTTTGACCTGTCGAGTTTCTGCTTTCCATGCAACTGTCAACTCAGCTTCTGCTGCTTCAGCATCTAACTCCCCTTTAGGTCCCACCTTAGCTTTAACTTGCCCGGTCTCTGCTTGCCATGTAATTGTCACCTCAGCTTCTGCTTCTTCAGCATATAACTCCCCTCTAGGTACCACCCTAGCTTTAATCAATCCAATTTCTGCTTCTCTTTCAAGTGTCATCTCAGCTTCTGCTTCTTCAGCATATAAATCTCCTTTAGGTACCACCTTAGCTTGGACACGTCCAGTTTCTGCTTCCCTTTTAAATGTCACCTCAGCTTCTGCTTCTACAGCATATAACTCCCCTATAGGTTCCACCTTAGCTTTGACATGTGCAGTTTCTGCCTCTCTTTTAAACGTCAGCTCAGCTTCTACTTCTTCAGCATATAACTCCCCTTCAGGCACCACCTTAGCTTTGACACGACCAGGTTCTGCTTCCCTTTTAAACGTCACCTTAGGTTCTGCTTCTTCAGCATATAACTCCCCTTCAGGCACCACCTTAGCTCTGACACGACCAGGTTCTGCTTCCCTTTTAAACATCAACTCAGCTTCTGCTTCTTCAGCATATAACTCCCCTTTAGGTCCCACCTTAGCTTTGACACGTCCAGGTTCTGCCTCTCTTTCAAGTGTCATATCAGGTTCTGCTTCTTCAGCATATAAATCCCCTTCAGGCACCATCTTAGCTTTAACATGTCCAGGTTCTGCTTTCCTTTTAAACATCACCTCAGCTTCTGCTTCTTCAGGATATAACTCTCCTTTAGGTCCCACCTTAGCTTTGAAACGTCCAGGTTCTGCCTCTCTTTCAAGTGTCATATCAGGTTCTGCTTCTTCAGCATATAAATCCCATTTAGGTCCCACCTTATCTTTGACAGATCCCGGTTCTGCCTCTCTTTCAAATATCATCTCAGCTTCTGCTTCTTCAGCATATAATCCTCCTTCAAGTTCCATCTTAGCTTTGAAATGTCCAATTTCTGCTTCTCTTTCAAGTGTCATCTTAGCTTCTGCTTCTTCAGCATATAATCCTCCTTTAGGTTCCACCTTAGCTTTGACACGTCCAGTTTCTGCCTCCCCTTTATGTGCCATTTCAGCTTCTGCTTCTTCAGGATATAACTCCCCTTTAGGTCCCACCTTAGCTTTGACACGTCCGGGCTCTGCCTCCCTTTTAAACGTCACCTCAGGTTCTGCTTCTTCAGCATATAATTCCCCTTTAGGTCCCACCTTAGCTTTGACACGTTCAGGTTCTGCCTCTCTTTCAAGTGCCATCTCAGCTTCTGCTTCTTCAGGATATAACTCCCCTTTAGGTCCCACCTTAGCTTTGACACGTCCAGGTTCTGCCTCTCTTTCAAGTGCCATCTCAGCTTCTGCTTCTTCAGGATATAACTCCCCTTTAGGTCCCACCTTAGCTTTGACACGTCCAGGTTCTGCCTCTCTTTCAAGTGCCATCTCAGCTTCTGCTTCTTCAGGATATAACTCCCCTTTAGGTCCCACCTTAGCTTTGACACGTCCAGGTTCTGCCTCTCTTTCAAGTGCCATCTCAGCTTCTGCTTCTTCAGGATATAACTCCCCTTTAGGTCCCACCTTAGCTTTGACACGTCCAGGTTCTGCCTCTCTTTCAAGTGCCATCTCAGCTTCTGCTTCTTCAGGATATAACTCTCCTTTAGGTCCCACCTTAGCTTTGACACGTCCGGGCTCTGCCTCCCTTTTAAACGTCACCTCATGTTCTGCTTCTTCAGCATATAACTCCCCTTTAGGTCCCACCTTAGCTTTGGCACGTCCAGGTTCTGCCTCTCTTTCAAGTGCCATCTCAGCTTCTGCTTCTTCAGGATATAACTCCCCTTTAGGTCCCACCTTAGCTTTGACACGTCCAGGTTCTGCCTCTCTTTCAAGTGCCATCTCTGCTTCTGCTTCTTCAGGATATAACTCCCCTTTAGGTCCCACCTTAGCTTTGACACGTCCAGGTTCTGCCTCTCTTTCAAGTGCCATCTCTGCTTCTGCTTCTTCAGGATATAACTCCCCTTTAGGTCCCACCTTAGCTTTGACACGTCCAGGTTCTGCCTCTCTTTCAAGTGCCATCTCAGCTTCTGCTTCTTCAGGATATAACTCTCCTTTAGGTCCCACCTTAGCTTTGACACGTCCAGGCTCTGCCTCTCTTTCAAATATCATCTCAGCTTCTGCTTCTTCAGCATATAATTCCCCTTTAGGTCCCACCTTAGGTTTGACACGTCCAATTTCTGCCTCTTTTTCAAGGGTCATCTCAGCTTCTGCTTCTTCAGGATATAATTCCCCTTTAGGCCCGACCTTAGCTTTGACAAATCCAGGCTCTGCTTCTCTTTTAAGTGTTATCTCAGCTTTTGCTTCTTCAGCATATAACTCCCCTTTAGGTCCCACCTTAGCTTTGACACGTCCAACTTCTGCCTCTGTTTTAAGTGTTATTTCAGCTTCTGCTTCTTCAGCATGTAACTCCCCTTTAGGTCCCACCTTAACTTTGACACGTCCAGTTTCTGCCTCTCTTTCAAATATCATCTCAGCTTCTGCTTCTTCAGGATATAACTCCCCTCTAGGGCCCATCTTAGCTCTGACACGTTCAGTTTCTGCCTCCCCTTTAAGTGTTTTGTAAGCTTTTGCTTCTTCAGCATCTAAACCGTCTTTGGGTAGCAATGTAGCTTTGGTAAGTCTTCTTTCTGCCTCCCCTTTAAGTGTCATGTCAGCTTCTGCCTCTGTGACTTCTAACTCGCCCTCAAGTCCCACACTGATTTTAGCCTCTCCAGTTTCTGCCTCCCTTTTAAGTGCCATGTCTCCTTCTGCTTCCCATGGATATTCCATTTTCTTTCCTACCTCTCCTTTTCCTACTTTCCCTTTAGTTTTAACTTCTGTCCCATCTATTTCTGCCTCTTCTTTAAGTGCCATCTCAGGTCCTCCCTCTTCAATTTCTGTCTTTCTTCTGAGTGCTTTCTGTTGTTCTTCAATCATTTTCTGTCTTGGAGACAATCCTTTTATTTCTCCTTTTGCCTCTTCAACCCATATCTCTCCTTTTGCCTTTTCCTTCTTCGCTAATTCTTCCATCAGCACTGCCATAGATTCTAAGCCAGGTTCAATATAAAGCCCTTCTTTCTCCAAGTCCAGTTTCTCTTCTGGAGCTGCTATTCTGGACTTTAGCCTCTCTTGTCTTCCTCTTTCTTCAGCTTCTCTTTCTACAGGTTGTACTACAGCTTTTTCTCCTTGGGCTGTTTGCTCAATTCCCAAAATATCTTTTGCTCTTGGTTGTCTGCCTTTCTCTCTTTCAGAATATGGTTTGCCTGCTAACTTGTCTTCCTCGGTTATTTCAATTTCATGGTCGAGGAAGGCCTCTTCCACCAAAGGCTTTATTTTCTTGAGGGTTAAATCTTCCGTAGATATGGCTTTCATTCCAGTCACATCTGGATATTCTTGGTATAAATCTTCATCCCATCTGGATGAAATGTCTTGGACTGTTTCTCCAATCTCAGATGGAACCTCTCTTCCACCAGTGATTGCCTTTTCTGCAGCAGCTGTTTTTTCATCTTCATAGAGAACATCTTCCATTTTTAATTGTGGTGGACTAAGTTTTGCTTCCATGGGGGAAATGGGCCTCAATTCATATTTTCCCTCTTCCTCTTTCCTCAAAAATGCCTCATCCTTTCTTTCCTTTCCCATTAGGTCAGCTTTTTTTCCGGCCTCTGCTTTATCTTTTTTTTCTTGAAAAATTACCTTTTCTTTGGGTTCAGCTTCTGCCACCTTATCTGGTACCTCTCCCATACTGATCTTTTCTGCAAATGTTGCCTCCCAATCTTTAGCTGTCTCATATTCTCCTTTCATCTTTTCTTTTGCTTCAAGCATGTCTCTGTCCACTGCCTTAATTCCTTCTAATTCTCTTGTCTTTAAAGCTTTTGGTACCTCAGTCACTTCTGCCCCTTGTCCCTCAGGGATGCTCCATCGCATATGTTCTTCTCTCTTTGCTGCTCTTTGGGCGTCTTCAGCTTCTTCCTCTTCTGATCTAAACCCCCCTAGAACCTTCTCTCTGTCAGCAGCTTTATGTTCTATTGCCATTTCTTCTGCTTTTGCCATGCTCTCCATTTTTCCATCCTTGAGGGTTATTTCTTTTTCTAAACTGGCCGGTTCTGATTCTATGGGTTCTCTCCCCCATTCTCTTTTTCCTGCCACAAGTTCAGGTTTTAGTGCCTGGTCTCCTCTAAGACTTGGTCTTTGGGGGGCTAGCAGTTCTTCTGTTAGAGCTGCTTCTTTGGGGCCCTTGCCAACTACAAGCTCTTCTTCCTCATGTATTCCTTCCTTGCCCATCATCTCTCTCTCTTTTTTCAATTGCTCTGCAGCCTTTTGCGATTCAGTCCGTCTTGATCGTTTTGCCAAGGAAACTCCATCTGGCACTATTAAAATAAGCACAGTATGAGTTGTAATTGTGACAATTTTATCAGTGTGGCATTTTAAAAAAATGCATTGACATGTGTTTCACCTGCCCTTGTTGGCCCATCCATTTTGAATGGATAGCCATCAGTGGCTTTGCTTCTTGGATTAACCTGAGAGCAATTACAATATAATGGTAAACTGGACAAGTTAATTTTCTGGTCCCACGTTATTCTACATTAGTTAAGAGAAAAGAGTGTTCTGGAAACTGGCTCTTGTATGGTTCATTATTAGTCTACTTTACAAACTGCCTGATATTCCTCCTACACTACTAATTTTGCTACTTCTTTTACACAAAAAACATTCCCAGAAAAGTCTTCCTTTTCCTCTGCAAACTAACATTATAAAGTATTGAAGAGTGTCCATATGACTGAAGTTGGACTACAAAAATGATAAATCAATTAGAAGTTCTCCAGGTCAGAAAAGGTCCATAAAAAGAAAAGAGTTATAGAAAATTAATATTATAGGAATATACAGTTTTTGCCCCCAAGATGGTGGCAGGTGATCTCTTTTCTCTTGCAGACGAACAGCTGATTGTGCAGCCAAAGCTGCTCCCTAGATTTGAATGGGAGCATTAGGAATGACCCAGAATGACCCTAAGATGATTGTGTGTCTTTGGAGAAGATGACCACAATTCTTGGTAGGAGAGATTGGAGGGTCAGGTCTTTTATCATCTTTCCCCTTCAGTTTTTTTTAAGCATACCTGGGCTTTTCTTATTTTTTTATTTACGCTAATAGGCTGATTGAATGTCAAACTATCCATAACCCCTTGCTAGATTTTTATAATTTTATTTTCTTACTGTTTACTTTGGAACTTTAATCCACTTTCACTTTTGCTCTAAGAAGTTGGTGGCGAGATAACGCACTTTCTGATAGTGAAAGCTATTCGACTGATTTACATATTTTTGACTAATCATGTTATGGGGTTTTTGCAAAATTCCTTCTTTCTTTCTTTCTTTTTTTTTTTTGAGTTTGCATTTTAACTTTCTGAAAAAATAAAAATATATAAAGAAAAAAGGAATATAAAGGTTTTGAACTGCATTAAATCAAACATTAAAGGTTAATGTGAACACAGATATATACAAAAATGATATATCTTGAAAAAAAGTGTAGCCCTACATCAAAATAACTGAGAATTTATTGTAAAATCAAATGCTTTAGACAACATCATAGTCTAGACTCTGCAAAATAAGCTTGGTCCTAGTTGCAATGAAATGAAATTATTGCCCACCTCAAGGCTTTGTGTCTATACAAATACAAGCATAAGGGAGAAAAAGAATGGATTGAATATCTGGCATAATAATTTCTTTCCAAATATCATAATGTTTCCAAAAACTTTATTTCTAAAAATTGCAATGTTCTATACCTCCTGGATCTATCATAAAACAATTCCTAGCTTTTTAGAAAATGATATACGTTTAAATGTACATTTAGGTTCATATGAATGTGACTTTTCATGTAGTTAAAACAAGTGAATTAAAAATGCTGATTAGTAGGAAGTGAGAAATAGCTACATGGGACCAAGAACAGAGTGTCTGCAAGGGGTTAAAAATTTAAGATGGAGAAGCCACAAATAAAGTCCTGCTCCTTGTGTGTTTGTGGTATGATCCTTTTTATGGTTGCTCCTCTCTTGTTGATTTTTTGATTGTTATGTATAAATGTATCTGACCTAGAAGCCTTATAACTGCTTTCTAGAAATATCAGAACAACAACATAGGATCCACCCAGGAGGAAGTGTGAGGAACAATAAAATATTCTGATCTGGATGGGAATAAGTCGTCATTTTGTGAAGCCAAAAAAGTAACAGTGCCTCATCAGAATATATATAGAAAAATAGTGTTAAGCCTATTTGAGAATAATGAAATCTAATTGATTTGGGATTTACTTTTCCCACTGATTTCAGTGAGAATTATGTGCAACAGGTAATACGGGACTACATACAAACATAATGTCCAATGGATTTTCATAGAATTTTATTTTTGCATTGTTGCCTAATTCTGTTTACACTGAAGTCTTTTTACTTTAATTGGAAATACTGTACAAACTCTCAATGTACTCATTATTAATTATGTTCAATAAATTGTCTTCTAAAACCTTAAAAGATTAAGGAAAATATTATAATGGAATATCTGTAAGAAGATAGATTCTTATAGACCTTTCTGACCTGTATGCTTGCATAATTTAAGTACTTGGCACTAAAAACTGTTGAAATTGAAGTGCTGATAGCATCCATCTAGACCTTTATACTGTATGTGACTTTCAATGAACAATCCAATCAAACGAGATATATCTTGGAATCAAAACTTGTTTCTTAGGGAACAGAGCTAAAGTGCTTATAATTCAGCCCAGAGAATAAAAAGGAAAAAAAGCATAATATTATTAAGAAAACCTCAATTTGCCTTCTGACAAAATGGTTTATAGGAGCAGTAAAATTTGTATGGTATTGTGTGAAGTGGAAGAAAGCATCTAAACTCTTACCTGCTGGTCAGTCTCATGAAGAGGCTGTCACTCTAACATGTATCCCAACGTTGGGGATTTCAGCACTTAAGGCCCAAACTATACATTACAGAAGATAAGTAACTGATACTGACTTTCATTTCCTTATAATATCAAATAAAACTCAACATCTGTATATATTTATAGGTTTCTTCATGAACATTAATAACATGATTTGTTCAATAAATCCCAGCTGAAGGTCATGCATAATGCTAAGCCATAAAGCACAGTTTAGAAACCAAAATTGCTGAGTTCCCACAACAGGCAATCAGAATTGCATAAAGTATATTGAAAATATGATTGCACCACCTGATGTGCATAAAATACTTCCCCTCTAGCAACAGCATGAAAACTTGTCAAGTATTTACATTTTTCTCCTACTATACTTATGACTGGATTTTGCATGGCTGAGATTTCAATTCACTATCAGAGAGAATAAACAGCTGTTAAAATCTGACTTGGACTCTACCCATTCTTAAAACACTCTAGAATAGGAGTGTGACATTATTTGTAAAGTCCCAGAGAGTTCCTTTTGAGGATTCCTCAGAGGCTTCAATAATTTAAGACAATTTCATCTCATTATTATGTTTTTTCCATATAATACAGAGCTACAGAAGATCCTAAAATGTGACCTGTTTACTTTGTGTTCATGTGATGGCAAAAATGCCCACTTAACATGCTGTGCACAATTGTTGGATAGTCTAAGAGATGAACAAGAAGCAATGTCAGGTGGGCAGGGTCCTTTTTTTAAAAGTCGACTTCCAGGAGGTGCAGGGAATATATTTGGTGATACAATCTTGTCACCATTAATGATAAGATCAACCATGTGTGCTTATATGTAAGAACTGGCCGGGTTTGGCAAATTAAAAGATAAAACTGATGCATTCAACCTCAGATTGACTACATTCATTTGAACTTTAACTGACAAGAAAAAAGGCTGTAACTATGCAGCCAAATATCAGCTATTGTGCCAGCAAAGATAATCTAGGCCAGTTTTTCTCAACCTTGGCCACTTTAAGATGTGTGGACTTCATGTTGGCTGGAGAATTCTGGGAGTTGAAGTCCATACATCTTAAAGTGGCCAACTTTAAGAAACACCAATCTGGGTTATTCTAAGGCTGGGGAAGGCCCAATGAAGTCTACAGTTGTTGTTCCTGACCTAAGTTATATCTGAGTTCCCTGCCTGTATAAGAATTTTGTAGCACATAGAGTGATGTGTGCAAGGAAGGGGTTGAAGGTGAAGCAGCTTCAAAGATCACTATTTCCTGAGGAAGACAGTAGTGATTGAGAAACTTTTTCCCCCTATGGAAGAGAGAAAAAGAAGAAAAATATGAAAATATAAAATATAAGCTGTAAAACATCAATTTGACACAGCATTTAACTAGAAAGAAATATTGAAGACAGATTCCATGCAACAGTAGAATTTACCTTCAAATTTACCTTGAGCAGCTGCTATATGTTCTTCTTCATCCTCTGTACTGTAATCACTAGGTTCGGGTTCAGAACTCAAAAGCTGATCTTTTTCAATAGCCTCAGCTATTTTCTCTCTGACCGATTTACGATCTTCAAAAAAATCATAAAAAGAGAGCAAAAGAGAAAGCAAAATAAAATAAAATAAAATAAAATAAGCCATCCTTGAACATAAAATGAGCTTACAATTACTCTACAACTAGCTAAGGATGGCAATTAAGATCCAGCAAAATTCTTTACTTTAAAAATGAATTATGTACACATATAAACAATAAACATCATTCGTTCTTTAGGCAATGAAAATTTCATGCAATGCTATCTCTCCCATGCAAAAATTACACAAAGCACTCACCACTTTCAAATACCACCAAGCTGTAAGGTCACCTTTGTTCAGAAATGGTTTTAATTTGTGCACAAATTAAAAACAAAGGTATCTTGAAGGCAGGATACGAATAACAACAAGAACAGGAATAGGAACAATACAATTGAAAAGCTATTATTCCATCACAGATAAACTAAGGCCATCTTTGAATACTAAGCTTCCTGACACAATTTCAATAGTTTTGTTAATTCCTTAAGGAAGTAAAATAACTTGCAAGTTTTGTCTCATTTTGATGAACAGGAAAGGCTGGATGCAAATCCCCAAATGCTCAACATGTGCATATATGCAGTTCAGCTACGCAGTTCTTTAGTATTATTATTATTATTATTATTATTATTATTATTATTATTATTATTATTATTATTATTATTTCCATGACAGTTTAAAGGAATACTAATATTTTCACTGTAACTTTACTATGTTAATAATTAGATTTCACTTGTTTATAACAAAATGTTTATTATTAATATCTTATTCCTATCAGCTCAGAAACTATGATTTTCTAAACAACAGCACATTTTTTTCTTCTGTCCAAAATGTCATTAAAGGAGAGAGAAAGAAATTGCTCTGTAAGAGTAAAAAAAAAAAATGATCTTCAGCATTTATGTTTTGTCTTTTTAAAAAGGAAAATACTGAAGGCTCTCCTTGAATCTGGACACCCTACTCATGCATGAGCCTTGGTGGTGCAGTGGCTAGAATGCAGTATTGCAGGCTAATTCTGCTGACTGAAAGCAGTTCGATCCTGACTAAGGTTGACTTAGTCTTCCATCTTTCTGAGGTCGGTAAAACAAGGATGCAGATTGTTGGGGGCAAACCACTGTAAACCACTTAGAGAGGGTGGTAAAGCACTTTGAAGTGGTATATAAGTCTAGGTGCTATTGCTATTTTGTAGGAACTTTTTTAGCATTGCCACATCACCTATAGATTAATATATGTATAATGAAGTAAATCCTGTTTGGTGTATGGAGATTCCTTTATTTTATCTCTACAATTTAAGCAAGGTAGATAAGACATTGCAATGTGCAGTTTAAGGCTACAATGAATCCTAAACAACCTGCCACTGATCCAACCGTGAAGGATACAACTAGCATTGAGGACTTTCAATAATTAGAAGACCCTCACAACATTTGCACGTATATAAATTTCTGTGGGTTAATGTCTAAGTTTTCTTCCTTTGTTTCCCTGCCAACAGTGTTAAAATCTCATCTGAAAGTTTTTGCCCACCATGGACCTAATCAATTGGTCTGAGATCTTTGTTATCATGGCTATCGTACACATATATTTGAAGAGGTACTGTAACTATCAACTAACCCTAACCCTAACCTTAACCCTAACCCTAACCTAGTGTTTCTCAACTTGAAAACTTGAAAATGTGTGGACTTCAAATCCCTAAATTTCCCAACCAGCTTGCTAACTGGACAAACTCTGGGAGCAAAAGTCCACATATATTTAAATTACCAATGTTGAAAAATATTACTCTAGCCCATTAAACCTAACCTTACTCATGGTTTTTTAAAAATGCAAAACAGCTAAAATATGCAGATGTAATCAACTGGTGCCTGAAACTCAATGGGAAGCTAAAAGTTTAGCAAAAAAAAAAGGGAGAAGAGTTGATGCCTCTCACACTGAATTTAGGCAACATGCTAAAAAATAAGATTCATTCAATTGACGGGCCTTTGAGAAGTACTACCTGTAATACATTTCTAAGGGAGAATATGCTTGCATCATTTTCACATATATGCTTCTTTTATATGTCACTTCTGGGCTACTGTTATAAACTTTTTTTCTCTGACTATTGGTAAATGTTGCAATCTGAGGCCTACTTTAAAACAGGGGAGTCATTTTGTGTATGGATGATTGTTCTGTGAATAAAGGGATGTGACCAAAACTGATCACAGCATTTGAACTTCAGGCCATTCTTAGAATCTGATCTCTTACCACAACCTAATAGGTTAATTAAGCATGATATGGTCTTAACGATTTGCCAAGGTTGAATATATTGCTGTTCCCAAAACAATCTTCAAAATCATCCATTAGAAAGTTCATGTATCCCCTCCCATTCCCATTCAGAAAATGTTAAGGAACAAATTTTTCTTTGTTTGCCAGGACATTCATCAAGGCATACCATATCATCTACTACTACCTTGTAAAACTTCTTTTAAAGAGGTGTTGGTAGCTGACATTTTTACTATGTTCAATCACAGCAACAGAATCTGAAGAGACTGCTAAATGCTGTACTCACTGAAAACTAAAACCATTGCACAGTCATTTAATGATCATGGTATGAGCAAAACAGAAACGACGATATTCTTTTATGATAAAATCTGGGGCAGGCCATTGACTCAACCTACATGGTTTTTCCACACTTGCATTTAATATTAGAATATGTAATTCTATATGTATTCTTCTTAAGTGGTTAATTTCATTCCTCAGTTGTACTTAAATATTCATCTCATCTAACAGTGTAATTGCAAAGTCACTCATATTGAAAACCTAGCATATGGATGAAGGAAAGTATCTCAACCAACTAAACACCTATAAATAATTCAGCATAATTATCCAGCTCTGTATTTTTTTCAATATTCCTCCATGTTTTATACATAAAAAATTGCAAGGCAATGAAAAGCACTCCAGCACCAAAATGCTAGCAAACAATTACCATTTTATAATCTTCTGCCCCTGACAAACTAGTAAATCCAGTAACACAAAGTAATATGAAACAATCTATCAAAATCTATTAAATCAAGCAAGAACATAATGTATCACCATCCAAGGAACATATTCCAAACCACAAATCAAAAATATTAGCATGACTTATGGCTTTCTTTCATGAATGCATCACCACTGATAGCATGCTAATTAGTATGAATTGATTCACCCTTACAATATTTCCATCACAAGCTAAATTAAAACAAAATAGAATATTTTTATCTTTCTTGCCAAAGGGAGGAATGATCATGTAAATAATATGTATTTTATGATACACAAAAATAAGCACATGGGTTACAATTCTGGATATTGTAGCCTAATATATTTAGTGGGCGACAGGTTGGAAAGGTTGTATTGGGCAATGGTAGCCGAGATGGTCAAATAATCTAATAGAGAATAAAGAAGGATAACCTAAATATGGCAATCCATATTCTCTATGATCATGAACAATCTGAAAAAATACCTTGTATTTGTGGCTCCCAATTCATTGTTCCAAATGATAAAAAGACACAAAAACTTGTTTTAGATTCTATGTTTCTGAATCTTTACAAAAGATACACAACTACTTTGATTTTGTTCTTTTTGTACAAATTCTACAACTACGATTTCAATGATGGTCATTATCAATTCCAGGCATATTCACTGATCTAAGATTCATTTCATCTATTTGCCCCTGGCTAACTAGAAATTAAATTAATTCAGTCAACAAATGTCCCATGCATAACAGAGATGGAGACAAGAGAAAGACACACGAAAGTCATATATGCAAGAGTGCTCAATTCCAGCACTTGAAAGAATAAGATAGCATGGCAATTTCAAGACAAAACTCTACCAGTTATCTGGCACATATATCAAAGCAAAATCTTGCCCCATTCAAGGATAGTAATAGATTTAGGAAGATTCAAGCAGGATTTTTATTCATATGCAATATCAAAACATGGCACCAGAAAATCAGCATTCATTTAAGAATTAACAAAGCAACACACTTGTATTCACCAAACCTGATACAGATCTCTCTGCAAACCATACTCACCACCTTCCTTATCTTCAGAAAGCTTCCTGCTCGGATATCCTTCTAGAGCACTGCTTTTCAAATGCACTAACTTATCCTTCTCTTCCTCCTCCCCCATGTCTACCAGCCCTATAAACTTGGGTTTCTCATGGCCCGGACTCATGTCCTGAAGGGTCATCTCCACTTTTTCTTCATAGAAGATATCTGGCACATTCTTGGTGCTCAAGCTTTCTGTTTCTGTTTCCCCCAAGTTTTCCTCTTCTTCCACATCAGTTCCCTGACTTCCTTCCCGTTGAGATTTGGTGGTTTCTGTTTCACATTCTGAATGAATGTCTGTAATGTCTTCCTCCTCATCACGCTTCCTGCCTTCAAACTCGGATTCGGTTCCACTGCTGTATAATGTGCTGCTGCCGGAGACGGAAAGCAATTGTTTTCTACCTACAAAGAGTAAAGACAATTACAATTTAATGGACTTCTGCACCCAATCCTTGGGATCATTATTTGCGAGGTCAAGTAGACAAACCTACTAGAATTAAGCATGAAAAAAATGCCTTTCTCCACAGAAATGCAAAATATTGTTTAAGCCTTTCTAAAGCAGCCTGTCAGATCCCATAGTTCTCTATAGGGATGTTGCCATTCTGGTGGCAGGCTTGGGGTGGGGGGTGGGGATTCTGTGCACAGAGTTTCCTTTGCTTTGTTTTGCTGTACCTCATGTGGAAATAGGGAGGAGAGAAGGAATGTGCCTCAGGTCATCTTAAGGAGGAGAAAAAGAATGTGATTTGAGCCATCTGCTTTATCTCACCACAGGAGAAAGCGAAACCGAAGCACCTGGAAATTGACAGTTATCACCTTCTCTGCCCGAGGTTCTCAGAACATCTTCGCACCTCAAGATTGGTTTGATGTTGAACTGGACATTGGGAGGGGCTTTGCTTGCATAGATTTAACCTAACACTTTGAGCGGGAAACTACAGATCCTGCCTACATTCCCTTTGCTATCACTATCTTTCAATAAAAGTTCCTTTTATTCTGCTTTCTTGAGAATTCTGCTTTCTTGAGAAAACTGGAGAAGCAGGACCTTACACAGCCCTTAGGGGATCTCCAAAGATATAGGATTATAATACCCAGAATTCTTAGACTTCATGCTAGAAGATGTTGCCTCGACACATTTGTGAAAATATATCCTTGAGTGAGATATGGGCATAAAGAGGTTCTAAATTTCAATTTCAAGCATCTATTAATATTATCTACACATTATATAGTGCTGTTACAGCCAACTGATTAAATTTGTCAATTTAAATCAGTTCATCTAAAACTATCTGTATCTGAAGAACTGGTTACATAAAAGACATTCTTTACAAGTTGTCCTCTATTTACTACTGTTCATTTAATGATGGCTTAAAATTACAATGGCCTCAGAAAAAGTTATTTACAACCTGTCCTCAAAGTTACTACCATTGCACCACCCTCACTGTCCTATGATCACAATTTCGGTGCTTGGCAACCAGCTGACATTTACGAAGAAGCTGCCATATCTTATGGTCACATGATTGTGATTGTGATTTTATGACTTTCTTAGCTGGTTCCCAACAAGCAATATCAATTGGAGAGCTGGATTGTCTTACAACCATGTGATCTACTTAACAACTTTTGCAAAATGGTTGTAAAACAGGACCCAATCATGTGATGACTCGCTTCAAAAAGGACCACAGAATTAATCTGGAAAATATGTACCTCCCCATCATCATCATCATCATTATTATTATTATTATTATTATTATTATTATTATTATTATTGGTTAATCTTTAGTGAGATTCACAGCCTTTGAGGCTGGTTAATAGCTCAGCAGCTTGAGTCCTAACCAAGGACCTAGGAACTGTTAAGGTATCGTCGGAGGATGTAAGCTGTTCCAAGTAAGGTGGTTTTTTGTAGAGTCAAAATGTTCAAGTCCGGCAAATTTAGAATTTCTAAATAGCGGGGTAGCCCTTTGGGTACTGCTCCAAGGGCTCCAATTACAATTGGGACAACACACGATTTCTTTTTCCACAGTCGCTCAACTTCAATTTGCATATCCCGGTACTTTGTGATTTTTTTCTTGCTGCTTATCTTCAATCCATGCATCACCAGGTATTGCAATGTATCTCTTTTATTCATTAAACATGAAACTCAGTCAACTGGATATATAAAATGTGACACAAATTATTATTATTATTATTATTATTATTATTATTATTATTATTAGCCATTTATTCTTGACAAGCAACATCTATTTATTAAAAGATGCCTATAATAGAACTGATCAAGGAAAGTCATAAGAGTTTTATCCTAAAAACACTACTTTTAATGTGATAATATATTTAATTCTTGTGCCTTCCATTTAATGCAATTCTGACTTCTGGTGTCTTGCCTACTGTTAAAAGATAATTAATTGTAATTTCTGAAAATATTTCAAATTGCTATGTCCATTTGTGCTGTTCTAAATAGTCTGCAAGGTTTGAGACTTTTGTAAAACAAGCCAAGTTTGCTTGAGCTAATATGAATTGTTTTAGTTATCTTTTGCCTTACACTAATGTAATGCAATATATTTTACAGCCACTGTTATAAAAATGACTGCATCACCATTGAGAGAACCGTTATAATCTTAATTTTCCAGATGGGAAAGCAAAGCTAAAGAACATATACAGTAACTAGTCAGTACATACAGCCAGTCAAGAACTTGATGGGAGCTCAAATTTAAGTAATCTGTGGTCCAGATCTGAATAATCTGTTGTCAGGCATCTCTCAGTTGACAAAGCAAGAAAGTGTTTCTCACAAAATGAAAGCTCAGTTAAATGTATTTATTGCAGCAAACCCATGAAGCTATGAGGAAGAATTCCAGACACTTCTGGGCATCAAATGCCAGCTCTATTTAAAATAATCAATATTCAAATGCCTTGCGCCTCTGTCTCCTGCCTGTTCTCCATAAAAAGCTATAGGAAAATCTCTTTTCAGCAAGAGAATTTCCAGCTTTCTTTATTTGGGCAATTGACTGATATTGGGTTGCTTATTTCTGACCATTTGCAAAATAATGTTCATATCTGTGGTCCAGCTCTAATAAATGATGTAGGTTTTAACAGGAAATAGGGAAATGTCCTTATTTGTCCTGTTTTTTGTCCACTTTTATTTAAAATTTATCATAGACTTGCACACTCACATGGTGGGGTAGTACAGGGGAGGGAAATCTTCTGGTCAATGGTCCTAATCTGGACCATCTTGGCCATGAGCAGTCATATCTCCTTCCTCAATGACACATCCTTTTCCAATGCTGCTGATTGGCCTTCCTCGTTTTCCCTTTGTCCTGTTCTTCCTCTCAAAAAGAGGTCAACATGGTATGGGCAAAACCAGCAGCTGCAACAGCAAATCCTGGCTCTGTTCTTGCTCCTTTTCATGCAAGCCTCCCTCTTCCCCTCGAGGGCGAAATGGGTGGCCAACGGGGGAGCAATGAATGGCCAACTCCACCGATGGACATGACATTTTGCTACACAGTAATAGTTGCCATAGGGCCGTGATGCAAACCTATGGCACGCGTCCCACAGGTGGCACATGGAGCCATATCTGTGAGCACGCGAGCGTTGCCCTAGCTCAGATCCAGCATGCATGTGGATGCTGGCAAGCTGATTTTCGGGCCTTTCGGGCCCACCGGAAGGAAGGGAGGCCGTTTTTGCCCTCCCCAGGCTCCATGAAAGCCTCTGGAGCCCAAGGAGGGTGAAAAATGGGCCTACTGAGCCTACCAGTAACCTTTTTGCCATCGCATGCCAAAAGTGGGGGGAGTGCAAAGTGGTCACATGGCATGCACGGGGGGGTGGAGCGCGGGGGGCATTGAATTATGGGTGTGGGCACACTGGCCCGCAACCCCCCGTGCTCCCCCCGCTTTTGGCACACGACGGCAAAAAGGTTACCCATCACTGCCATAGGGGATCACCTTCATGACTTCACGCCTTTTGATAGGCTGTATGAACCCAAATGCTACCCCCGAAAAGGATAATAATAGAAGCCAAATTTGAAAGTAGATCAATTTAGTTACCTATAACAATTAGCCATTGGTGTCTCGTAATATGCTACCTTCAATTTCTATGTCTTTTTATGTCCTTTGGAGACACTGAGAGAATGACTAACATACCATACTTTTTCTCTTACCAACCAAATGAGGTTCTCATTTAATCTCTCTCTTTCTCTCTCTCTCTCTCTCTCTCTCTCACACACACACACACACACACACACACGCATACACAGATACACAGAGTGCACAATCGCTCCATCCACTTGGAAAACACACAACTGACTTGGAGCTTTATATTATCCCCCTTTTTATACAAAGCATAAGTGATGCAGGTGGGAACTGAAGTCGGTGATGCTTGCTCTGCCATGGTTTATGAGGAATATGCAAAATAGCATTAGATTTAAATCTCCAAGAATGTAAAAAGCCACAGTATCTTTGAGCTAGCCAGCTCATTAAAAATATTACCAGAATTTTAGAGGATATAAACAGACTAATAGCAAAATCGCTGTTTGCAGCCCTCAGCAAAACACCATGAAATGTTTTCTCTAACTAATGAGTCCTTCTGATTTATTCACAGGATTATGGCCTACCAGGATCTGAAAAATGTAAGTTCAGACTCTCTGACCAGCTCTCAACAAAACAATGGGAGGAAAAAAAAATAAGAGTAAAGATTCCTTATCTATCTGGAGAGGTTATTAAAATTTTCCACGTTGGGAGAAATGTTGCCTTCAATTAGACCTGCAAGTCTACAGCTGTCAAGAATAAGGACAGATTTTGTGGATCATTGTTCCAGTGTATTTATATAAAAAAGAAGTTCACTGCTTCAGTGCTTGAATTTTAATTTTTAGTCAAAAATAAATAAAAAATGCATAGTCCCTCAAAAATCTTGCTCCACTACCACCTGAAAATGTAGATAGATGATAGATAGATAGATAGACAGACAGACAGACAGACAGACAGACAGACAGACAGATATGGAAAGAAGGAAAGGAAACTCATAACACATCTGTTCCTTATGTCTGAACAGTCCAGCATAAAATGTAAATCTGACACTTTTAAATAAGACGTCCATTGATAATATAAGCCAAAAACTAAATCAACAAGCACCCTGACAAAATTACTTTGCTCTATTCCAACAAAATAAATTATACAATGTCAAATCAAATTGCTCGGATATATATCTTTTTCAGCTATAAAACAAATTCAGTCATGACTAACCATCTAGGGACATGAAAGAAATGGAGGTGAGCTTTTAAGAAGCATTTAAATGTTGTATAGTCAGTAGAACTAAAGAGTAATGGAAATGGACAATTAAAGGATGGTCCTTGGCCTTCTAATTACCGTCCCTGTCTGGACAATCCTCTATCACAAAGCGAGATTCCCATTCCTCACTGTATCACTGTATGGTATCCATATCACATAGATAGCAGGTGCCTTACAAAAAAAAATGCCTACAAAAGAGAAAGGTCAAGCAAGTCGCTCACATTCATTTGGAAGCAAAAATTAGCTGCTAATTACTTTCCCAAACACCCAATATGATCATTGTCAAAATTAAAATTGTATCAGTGGTCCAACTATATAAAACAAACAAACCTATAAAAGCTCCTTGGGGCAATGTAACTGAATATCTGTTATGGTTTGGCCACAAGCCTCAGAAGACCTGCCAACGTTTTTAAAAAGGAACAGAATGTGCAATTATGCTTATTGATGATTAGCAAAGCTGCAAGATTATGATTTGCCACAGTCGCTGACTGTGTAAAAATTGGATTTGCCTCGATCAGAAGCAAGATTTTTTTCCACGCAAACCAACTCCAAACCTGGTTTGACAGCTCGAGTTTCCTGTTGACCTTTATGCTTCCTATAAAAGCCTTGGATCTTTTGGGCAGATACATCCATTTCCCAGTCAGTTGCTTTACCTTTGCCTATATTTTCACGCAGAAAATATGAAAGTAAAAGCAACATTAACATTTGGTTTGAAATAAAACAACGTTCTTTCATGTAAGGCCTGTCAAAATGGGAACAATTTTAGGGATAAGCAGTAAATGTAGAAAAGTCTGGAACAGCTTCAGTGGCAACAGTGGAATACGCGACAGCCACATCAAAAACAGTAAGATAGAAGAGAAGCAAGAAGAAATCAGCTTTGTATCGACAGAAAGCCCAAAAGCTGGCGGCTTCCATAATCTTGCAAATGTGCTTTGCTTTAGACCCGCTTCTACACTTTTTGTATTAATGAACGGGAAATGAGATACATGCTTCCCACTAGATTATTTATGAAAGTGGGTGGCTGCAAATACGTACAGGAAATAATTATCTCCATCAGTCATGCTGACTGGAAAAAAGAGAGGTTACCCAAAATCTTATTTATGCTCCTGAAACAAATCCTGTGACATTTTAATCTCCTTGTGCTAATAATTATTGAGCGTTCACCACACTGAGCTTTTGTTCCCTGCCTAGAACCCAGCTGGCCCATGAACACATATTTTTCACCTTGAGGTTGGGACATTTCATTGTGGGAACCAAGTGAGGGTGAGTAAAACAGTGGACCATAAAGTGCAAGATCACAAAGATAGGACAAGAGATTTCTTCCACTGCTGGCTGACTGGCTGGCAGGCAGGCAGGTAGGCAGGCAGGCAGGCAAGCAGACACGCAGAGGGAGAATACTCTTACAGCAGTTGACACTTTACAATGCTAAAGTGACATCTACTGGCTGCCCTGGAAGACAGTGGTAAAAACGTGGGAGAAGAATATGCCTCCAACTCAGAAAAGACAATGCATAGAACAGATCATTGCTCATACCACCAGACTTTGCAAACGAAGTGATCAACTGTACGCTTGCCTTTGTTTTCTTCTAGTGCAAACCATGGATTACAAACTGTTTTTGAGTTTATAAGAATATATTCTCATTTTCTCAATCTTTCCCACAGGGAGATTTTGTTAGTTAAGTGGCACAGAAAGTATTCAAAGATCAACTGACAGGAGCATCCCGAGAACCTGAGATTTGACAACAGTACAGAGGAGAGTACAGAGAAGAAAAAGCTTGTAACATGGTTATGAGAGAAGTTTTTAAAAATGAGAAAGCAAAGCTCCCCTTATGCCTTGTTTTATACAGAGTAGAATAGTGTCTATTTTATTCTACGCAAAGACAAGAGCATTTGCAGTTCAGGTATGAAGTGCAGACATAATTCATAACAGACATTGTAATATTTCATTCTGTAAACATCAACTTCATTCCTGTTCCTACACTCCTCTTTGTCTTAACAGATATAGAATCAGACTGAATAATAACAACATGGGAAATAAATAAATAAATAGTAAATAAACAATTGAATGAATAAACAAATGAATAAACAAATGCAAATCCAACTCTAAGTGGTACTTAACCATGACCCTGAAAATGAAGAGTCCTCTGAAATATTAAAAAGATATTAGGATGCTATACTTTAGCTTAAGGGAAAAAAAAACAACTAACCATGTTTTCTCTCCTCTTCCTCTGTGTAGCTTTCCGAATATCCCTCACTTTCATCTCGCTCACTATCAGAAGTCCGTGAAGATTTCTGTGATGAGACTTTCCTCTTCCTTTCACGATCAAAACGGTCTGTTTCCCCTTCGGAGAGCAGCTTCCCTTTTTCACTCATTTGATCATCAGCACGTGCTTCTTTTTCAACTTTCTCAACTTTCTCAATTTTCTCAACTTTCTCAACTTTCTCAACTTTCCCAACTTTCCCAACTTTCCCAATTTTTTCAACTTTTTCAACTGGTTTCTCTTCATCAGCTTCAAAATCTTCCTCATATCCTGAAATAAAATGATATCTTGTGAGATAGGAAATTGATTGCATATTATTACTGGTTCTCATTAACCCCCAAAAGGTTAAGTCCATGAGGTTTTGTTTCTCTTTGTACTTAATCCTAAAAAAAAATAGCAACAACATCAAAGTTAACACTGGACTGAAGCTGTACAATGTGTTTTTCTGTCAAATTTAAATGTTCACTCTGCTCTTATTCACAACTTCTGGAGGCAATTAATTCCACTGATTAATTGTTCTAACTGTCAGGAAATTTCTCTTCATTCTAAGTTGCTTCTCTCCTTGATTAGTTTCCATCCATTGCTTCTTGCCCTGCCCTCAAGGTGCTTTGGAGATTAGCTTGACTTCCTCTTTTTTGTGGCAAGCCCTACCTCTTTATTTCTTTCATTTGCTCTCCCTCTCCCACCCCATGTTCTACAATGCCAGGAAACAACAAGGAATTATTTAAGGCAGGGGTGTCAAACTCAAGACCCAGGGGCTGGATCCGGCCTGCAGGATGCTTCGATCTGGCCTGCAGTACCACCCTGGAAACAGTGAAGGCCTGGCTCGTGGCACCTCTGCCAGTGAAAATGGAGTTAGTGAAGGCCTCACACAGCTCTCCTGAGCTCTGTTTTCACTGGCAGAGGGTTGCAGGAGGCCATCGCAGCCAAAAACGGAGCTCAGGAGCCCGTTTTTGCTGGCAGATCGCTCGGGCCACCACAGTCACCTCCGACACGAGTGATGTTGAGCTGGCCACACCCCTCCTGGCCACATCCCCCTGCCCCCTGAAGTCAACAAATTATTATCAGTAAACTGTGACCAAAACAGCATAGATCTGATTATGTTGATCTCTCTCTATTCTGCTTGTGAAACTCCATCAAAATAACTAGTATAAGATATTCAGTTCCTATTGCACATTGGATTCTATTTAACTATTTGGTTTTATTGAGTGATTGATGATAAGGATGAAATAATAACAACTGCCGCCTTGGGAACTCTGGGAACTCAAATATGGCACACCTGGAGGACAGTAGATTCAGGATGACTGTTTCAGATCAATTCAGTTTAAGGGATTCCTTCATGCAATTTACACTGATAAAGGAGAATATCTGTAGCTCAGGGTTGAAATGAGGGGTCTTTGGTGTTCTGTGAGAGCACCAAGGACCCCCACTGACCAACTCACCTATTCTTTTCATACCATACCTTCATAAATAGCAGTTTTCTGGGTATCCTCAAATTCATCTCTATCTTTTTCTCTTTTTTTGGTCTCCAATTTCTTTTCTTCAGCTCGTTCTGCAGCTCGTTTCTTTAACGCAGAAGCTGAAGGAAAGTGGGTCGGTAATACTTTTTTTTCTTCTTTTGGCTTGTGTGTCACTTCCTCTTTCTTCCAATCTTCCAATTTTGCACTTTCTTCAAGGGTCTTCTTTTTTGGAGGTGTAGGCTTTTTATCCAGGCCCATTGTAATGATACATCTGATAAAAATTTAATATATTATGAAAACATACTACTAAAAGTGTCTTATTCTAGGGATTATTAAAAAATAAAATCAGAGAAAGTTCCTGCATTTCTTTTTTTTTTCTAAAACAACAACAACAACAACCAGGAATGGATATACAACAATATACTACAAAAAGTTATATGTATATTGGAATTGTACAAGCATTACCAAAGTAGCTGGAGAAATTTTAAATTGTTTTATCAGCTAATTGATTCTAGTGGAAAAACTGTATCGTGAGAGGGAGTCCTTTCCGGGAGGGAGGTGAATTTCCATTGTCAGTCCATCTTCAGATCAATGAATTCATAATGCATTAAGGGAAAATAGGGCAGAGTTTTTAAAGTCTTTTTAAAAAGGAATGCTGGATGAAGCTTAATGTAAGGGAAAATAGCGGCAATTGATTTTATAAAATCAATTTTGAGGACAATAGCCACTCTTAAGTCTAAGGAAGAGTTGGAGTCAGAAGGATGTGTCTCTCATTGATCTACATACTTTAAATTGCAAGATTTAAACTAGACAAAAAATTTATAGGATTGTAAAAATGTACAATATGTAAAAATGAATTTGAAATTGTACTGTGCAGTAAGGGTGAACATGTTATTATTGCCAAGGTTTATAAATTGTTATTGAAACTGAATTTGGAGGATAAATATGAAAAGCATTGTATGATTCAATGGGCAAATAATTTTGGGTATGATGTAATGCTAGTACAATGGGAAAACATGTGGATGAAGGATTAAAAATTTATGTTGAATTGAATGACACAAGATCGTAAACATGAGCTTGAAAGGAGGGCAGGTTTTGAGACTGTACCTAAGGTAAAATATCTAGGAGTTCAGGTTGCAGAATCAAATATGAAATTGTTTCAAAATAACTATGAGGTGTTGTGGCGAGAGGTGCAGAAAGATATGGAGACTTGGAAAAAACTGCAGCTGTCTCTACTTGGAAGAATAGCAGCAGTTAAGATGAACATTTTGCCAAGATTTCTTTTTTTGTTTCAAATGATTCCGGTGCTTAAAAGTGATAAACAATTGAAAGTTTGGCAATCTGGAGTGAATAAGTTTGTCTGGAACGAGAAGAAGCCGAGAGTGAAATTGAAAATTATGCAAGATGTTCCAGAAAGAGGAGGTCTTAAACTTCCAAACCTACAGCTATATTATGATGCAGCAGCTTTAACTTTAACAAGTGATTGGTTTGGAAGGAAAAAGACTGGAATATTGAATGCAGAAAGTTTTGATCTTGAATTTGGATGGCATGCTTACTTATTTTACGACGACAAAGTAGATAAAGTATTTAAAAGTCATATACTTAGAGATTCTTTGATGAGAGTTTGGAAGAAGCACCGACTCAAATGGGATTATAAAATACCGCTATGGTTGGATCTTGGTCATACTTTGTGGAATACAAATATAATGTCACTCGGGGGGGGGGGGTTTATATAAAGAGGTTCTTTTTACAGATGCGGGCAGATGGCAGCTGAAGACATTGCAGACACTGTTGGACAAAGGGATTAATTTAACTTGGCTACAATATAATCAATTACAATTGAGATGGAAAGAGGACCAAAAAACTGGTATTATGTTGCATGAGGAAGAATTGGTTAGACATATAAGAGAGAAAGGTCCAATGCATATCAAAAGGCTTTATAATGTTTTGCTAGAAAGAGATTCAGAAACCGAATTAGTTAAAGACTGTATGATTAAGTGGGCACAGAATTTTGAAGAACCAGTGATGCTGGAAACATGGGGAAAAAATTGGGTTCAGAATGTTAAATTTACACAGTCGCAGAATCTGAGGGAAAATTTCTACAAAATGTTTTATAGATGGCATTTAGATCCCAAAAAGTTGTCATGTATGTACCCTAATGTTCAGCCAAAATGTTGGAGATGTGAATGTTTGGATGCTACGTATTATCATGTTTGGTGGACCTGTAGGAAAGTTAAGGCTTTTTGGATAAAAATTTGGTGGGTCATGCAGAATGTTTTGAAGAAAAAAATTCAATTTTCTCCACAACTGTTTTTATTGGGTATAGTTAAGGGTTTTACATTGGGTGAAACAAAATTGATATTGTATATGATAACAGCAGCAAGATTGTTGATAGGTAAATACTGGAAGAATGAAGCTTTGCCCACTATCGAGGAATGGACTTTGAAGATGGCCAGTTTTGCAGAGATGGTGAAGATTTCAGCATATTTAAAAGATTGTTCACAAGAGACTTATGAATGGGAATGGAAAAAGTGGATAGAATATGTTCAGAACAAATATCAAACTAGAAAGTATCAAATAGCTTTTATTTGAAAATAATGTATTGGAAATTTTTTAATGTAATGAGGTAAAGAGAAAAATTATACAGGGGAGGGAGGGGTTCAAGTTTATATATAAGTGTTATATTAGGGTTCTTTATGAGTATGAGTATATTATAGGGAAGTCTGGGGGGAGGGGAGGGTTAGGGAGGGTTAGGGAGGTTGGGAAGTTTGGGGGTGGGTGGGGGAGAAAAGGGGTGAAAATGTAATTGTAAAACTTTTGCAATAAAAAAAAATTATGTTGAATTATAACTTGAAGGAAAATGTTTATAAAATGATGTACCAATGGTAATTAACCTGACAAATTGTCAAAGATGTATAAGGTGCTTCAAATATATATTGGAAATGTAAATGTTAAAGAAGGAACTTTTTATCATCTTTGATGCATTTGTGACAAAGGAAAGAATTACTGGGATAAGATTCATATTTTAATACAGAAGATTCTCAAAATAAATATAAAAATCAAACCAGAGACTTTTCTTTAAAGTTTAATGGATAAAGAATTTGGAAAAAAAAATCTAGAAATTTGTCATTATATAGGTTGACGCAGCAAAGATGCTATACATGCAAAAAAGGGAAAGAGACACTAATTTCCACAATGAAAGAATGGCTGAAAAAACTGATTGAATTAGCAGAGATGGACGTATTAATTGTTTTAATCAGACAAAAAAATACATCCAACTTTGCTTCTGCTTGAAAACTGCTTCTGAATTTTGTGCTGGAGACAGAAAAAAATGAAACTTTGACTTTGGAATTTGCAAGATTAGGCAAGCTTGTGACAAAATTGGCTAGTACATATTAGATAAAAAGTAAATGTAAAAGTGAAATGTTGAGGTTGTAATATTATTTTTATTCTACTGTGCTGAAGATTCAGAATTTAATGCTTTTCTTTCTTTTTCCCCTTTATTCTACACTTCTTTTTCCCCACTTTTCCCTTCCCCATTTTCCCATGATAGGCTTAATAAAATAATATATGTAAAAATTGAGGGCAATAGCTGACACAATTTTTCAGAGAAAAAGCAAATGTACTGATTTGTACATTTGTACATCAGAATTCACTGAACACAGAACGAACAAAATCATTGAGAAAAATGTTTCTAGTTAAAAAAAATACTTCTGTAAAATGAAATATGTGTAAGATTTCTTCCACAGTTCCCCAATTAAATTCCAAATTAAGAATTCAAAGATTTCTGGAGAGCAAATATTCCAGATTTTGTAGAAATAAAAAGTTATTCCATGGGTCATTTTTTTATTTATTTATTAAATATACTAGCTGGACATCCATGCTTCGCTACAAAACTATGTGATCAGGCGTGATAAATTGACACTTAAAGCCTGAAATTTAACGTAAAATGTGTAACTCCATAGCATCAGAGTGTGCTAATATAAGGCAACTGGCAGTTGGAACAGAGGGGGAGGGGGAATAGAATGTCCTAGCCTGCAGGCGGGATGAGTCATGCGCTGGCCACACCCACGCCCAGTTTAGCAAAGGGATAGCATCAGAGTGTGTTAATATAAGGCAACTGGCAGTTGGGACAGAGTTCCTTTCAGGTGGGGAGGGGGAGTAGAACATCTAACTCCTTAGCATCAGAGCATGTGAATATAATACTGTACATAAAATACTAATGATCTTATAGTCATTTTAAAAAATCCTTTCTTGGCGAGCACCTAGAAACCAAGAGGAACATACATGCCGAATTTCAAGTTTGTAGGCTTTACAGTTCTGGAGATTTTGTGATGAGTGAGTGATATTTGGTTTTTATACTGTATATTAATAAATGTATGTGCCGCCCACCTCACTGTTGAAGCAACTCTTGGTAACTTACAAAGTGATAAAAAGATAACATGAAACAATTAAAATAAAAAAAGATTAAATAAAGACTAAAAACCATTAAAATTAAGAGAATTTAAATAGAGACTAAAAACCAAGAGGATCGCTAGCTAAGCATAAAACAAAACCAAATCCTTAAAACATAAGGACAATCTCACAGTGGAGGTATAGGTACCTTTCAGAAACCACTTTCAACACACGTCATATTTTGTTTGTTTGTTTGTTTGACTTAGAAGTTATCCATCTCACCTGTTATAATCTCATAATAATTTTATGAGAAGTTATCTGTGGGAGAATGGTGAGACCACTGCTGTTTGATTAGTCTCTTGATGTTTCAACTGCAACAGTATTGCAACATTCTTTTAATTCTATATTATCTAGACTATATTACCTTTAATTTAGAACACCATATGCCTGCCCCTGCCCCCTCCCCTCCCACCCAAGAAATTACATAGGCCAACTCTGCTGGCTTTTCAGAAGACCCTGAAAACATAGTGTTGCCATCAGGCATGGGAAGCAGAGAATGTGGCAAAGCTGTCCCAGGTATTGAATTAAGTGTTGTTATTATGATTATCATGGTTATGAATGTTATGGTTTTTGATATGATGGTTAATATATGTTTTTGGATTGTTCTTTTTTTACTTGTTCTTTTTATATTTATTGTAGTTGCTTTTAAGGAGTCATACATATGAGATAGGTGGCTGTATAAATTTGAATAATGTATAAAGAAAGTCAACATCGCCCATATGTTGAAAGATAATCTATATAAACAAAGTTTTAATAGGCATTTAATATTTCAATGGCTTTGCTCTCACAATGGGCTGCAACACTGGTTCTCAATAATAATAATAATAATAATAATAATAATAATAATAATAATAATAATTTTATTTCTATACCGCCCTTCTCCCGAAGGACTCAGGGCGGTGTACAGCCAATTTAAAAACACAGGACACAACAATAATTAAAAATTAAAATAATTAAATAGATGTGGCCAATTTAAAACCCCAAAAATTTAAAATACCCCAATTTAAAATTATTATGTTGATAGCCCTGCCTGGCGGAACAACAGGGTCTTCAGTGCGCAGCGAAACACCAGGAGGTCGGAGATCTTACGTATTTCCGGGGGCAGTTCATTCCACAGGGCTGGGGCTCCCACAGAGAAGGCCCTCCCCCTGGGTGTCGCCAGCCGACATAACTTGGCTGATGGCACCCTGAGGAGACCCTCTCTGTGGGAACGGACTGGTCGGTGGGAGGCTATTGGTGGCAGAAGACGGTCTAGAAGGTACCCGGGTCCTATGCCATGGAGCGCTTTGAAGGTGGTAACCAACACCTTGAATCGCACCCGGAAGACCACTGGGAGCCAGTGCAGCTCGCGCAGGATGGGTGTCACACGGGCACAACGAGTTGCACCCATAACCACCCGCGTGGCCGCATTCTGGACCAATTGGAGCCTCCGAGTGCTCTTCAAGGGGAGCCCCATGTAGAGAGCATTACAATAGTCCAGCCGGGAGGTGACAAGGGCATAAGTGACCGTGCGCAAGGCGTCCCGGTCCAGAAAGGGCTGCAACTGGCGGATCAGGCGAACCTGATAAAAGGCCCCCCTGGCCACGGCCGTCATATGCTCTTCTAAAGACAGCCGTGCATCCAGGAGGACACCCAGATTGCAAGCCCTCTCTGTGGGGGGCAAAGATTCACCCCCAATAGTCAGCGATGGCACCTGCTGACTATATCGGGACGCCGGCAGCCACAGCCACTCGATCTTGGACGGGTTGAGTCTGAGGTCAAGCTTTTCTTCACTAGGGACCTCCTTTTAATATCTTTTGTGGCCCCAAAGACTTAACTCAAGATTTAAATCATAACATTTCTTCAAGTCTTCATGGACCCCCTGTGATGATATCGCAAACCCAAAGAGGTCCATGGACCACAAGTTGAGAACCATTGGGCTACAATATAGTTGTATGATAACTGGGGTTCTTCCTACTATCCCAATGCTTAGGTAAACTAGCGAATTAAGGGCCATCTGGTTGGAAAGGCGTGATCTAAATCAATCAAATCAATCAATTAACAGAATAGCCTGCAGTTGGAAGAAAAAAAAGTTTGCTTATAGAGAAGATTACAGGAGTTTTTATGCAAAGCAAAATCAATGAAAATGATTAAAATGCATAAGAACGATATGTCATAAGAATACACGGTTCCCCAGAGTAATTATTCAAGGCATTTTACTATTCTCTTGCCTGATTTTTTGTCAAAATAAATTGGCATATAAACACACCTATACGGCTAGACTAGAAATGTAGTGAAAAAGTATCACCACGGCTCGAATTTGTATGCTTTCCAGTCCTCAGAAAGCGCTTATCACATTAGTGATAGCATAACATTTACATTAATCATGCAAATCTGACTCTGAAGAGGAAGTGAAGTGTTTCTGGATGGTGCAGTATACTTATCGGAAAAATCATTTGACTCTCTGGGGGTTTCTATTTCTTTCCTTTCCTTATTTTGTTCACTGCTGTTTATACAATATTTTTCCCAGTGGGGAAATGTGCACCACTTTTTTGGTCTGTCATTGCTTTGCACATCAAAGAAATGAAAATATTACAGAAGAAATGGATGTTTTCATTTCTGGCAAAGATGTAAAGAAGGTTCCTGGCCTAGACTAAAAATAAATGCCATATTCTTTTATTTGCACAATCAACATAAATCAATACCTTTTTCAAACAGAGAATGCCCAGAAGAGCCTGTCTTTTGAAACAACGTAATATATGAATCATCTTTCTGAATTTTTATCTTACATTTCTCCGTATTGTACTTTTTAAACATACTTTGAAAATGTAGGTTCAATATTGCAATGCTCACAAATTGTAAATAAATATCTTACTGAAAGGAATTTCGGCCTTAAACAGTAACCAAGAACTACTATATATGTCTACTGCTCTGTGATATAGAATTGAGCCAAAAATACCTCCCCAAAACCAACCTACAACATCCTAGGCTGTAGGATCTAGCTCAATGTCATTTGACCGCAGGTGTTACGGTCACCTGTGGTGGCCAAGTGCTAAGGCAGGACTTCCCTGAGACCTCCCTCACTTGCATTATAATCTCCTTCCTTCCTTCCTTCCTTCCTTTCTTCTTTTTCCTTCCCTCTTCATTCTTTCTTCTCCCTTCCCTCTTTCCTTATTTTCCTTCCTTGCTCTCTTTCCATCTTTCCTTCTTTTTGTTTGTCTTTCCTCTTTCCCGTTCTTCTTTCCTTTCCCTTCTTGCACGTTCAAATGCAAAAGGGGAAACATTTCTCCTTTTGTTTTTGTTTTAGTTTGTTTTAATAGCCCTCTGCCAGCAAAAACGCACCCCGTTTTCAGCCACAACGGCCTCCTGCATCCCTGCCAGAAAATGGAGCTCAGGGGACAAAACTAAGCACCCCACGGGCCTTCTGTTTGACACTCCTGATCTAGGGAAATAGAATTTCAAAATATATCACAAAAGGACTATGATCAAAAAGAACAAACTATTTTAACAAACTAAGCCATTACATTATATAAATAGATACCTTAAGTTTACCAAGTTTACCAAGCTGAAATCTATACTTCACTGCCCCTTTGAAATAACTGGCATTCTGATTGCTTATTTGCCACCAAACATGTACAGTCTTTATTGTCAACATCATCAGACTTTTGCTTATGGAACAAAGTATACAAAATGGGGGATCTTCAAAAATGCAGCTAAAATTATCCACACCACTGGAAAGCCTAAATGAACTAGATCCACAATCATGTAGATGATTCTAATTATGTTCAGCTGAATATGTAAAGATGTTTCTTTCTAACTTTACAATCAAACCCTGAATCTTTTGAGGCCACAGATTATGAGGACAATCTGCTGGTAACAGCCTTACTGTGCCCCATCTTTCCTTCAAATATTCTGTGAACTCTCAAATAGGCTTAAGTAAACATGAGTCCTTCTCTGCAGCTTTCAGGCGAAAGTGTATATAAAAATTAAATAGTTGGAAAAGATTTAATCAATCCTATTTTATAACCTAAATTAATGATTTGGTGAATGTTATGTGTTACCAAAAAATAATCAAATTCTGATTTTATACAAAAAAATCATTCATGTCTTGAAGCTTAGATAAGAGAGATCTGAAGTAATTTATGGCTTAAAATAACAGTCTTCCCAAATTTTCCAAGGAGAATCAATTGTGCACTTGTAAAATTAATGGAAAAGGTTGTTAATAATATTTTGGAATCAAAATGCATGCAGGAAGGTGGTCAAACATTCCATAGAACAGTTACAAGTTCTCCTCTGCCTTTGTGTTGATCAATATCAATATCAAAGCATACCTATAGCAAGGAGATGATCTTTCCACATTGACGAAACCAAAGTATCCATGCTTGCCTCCTAGCCGAGTACCTTTCCGATGCTTATATTCGCAGCAAGAACTTAATCGGTCCACCTGAATTCCATTGAGATAAAAGGTGAGACTGAAGGGGAAGCCGTGGTGCCTCCTGGAGATGAACTGAAACGTTTCTGTGGTTGAGAAAAAGCGGGGGGGGAAGTATATATAATGGACTTTTTTACCACATTTAAGATAGACAAGGAGCCAGTTCAAGAGCATATTTCCCTTTCTTCCAAGACTGTACTAATTCAAGCCGTAAATTGCAGGTGGCATGTTTCAAAATCAAAGGGATCATACCTACATACAGAAGTAGTACTTCTAGGAGAAATCCATGCTCAAATTATCTTTGGCACGTTTTCAAGGTGCAGAAACATTTTATATGTTGTTGTGGAAAAAATTAGAGGAGGAAAGGATATGGGACATTTTCACCACCTTGGTTGTTTAAACAAATGAACAGGATACATTAAATAAATGAACATAATTTAATAAAGGGGAATACATTTAAAATGGAGAGCTTTCCTAAATACAAAACAACTATAAAAACAATAATCTAGTGTTAGTTTCAACATTCATACATCCACATACCATTTCCTTACTATCTGACTAAACAGACTGATCTGATGAATACTAACACCAATAAAACTACTTCCAAGCAGACATTTAAATCCATCTCTTTTTCTCTGGGTTATCAAGATCCATTTCCACCCAACCCCGCTTATGCTTATTTAGACCTTTATTGTTCTTTTATCAGATCTCATAGAGACTATTTTAATCTGTACTTTACTTAACACCAACTAAGATGTGACACTACTATCTGCAAAGCTGCTTTTTTCTTGCTAGTACCACCACACCTTGTTTGGTTCTAAATAAAGCACAGATTTGAATAGTCTAGATGAGAACTGACTAAATAAAGATCAGGATTCCAATGTAGAAGGGCAAAAGCTTTTACCTCAACATGGAATGATTGCATCAATATACCAGCTAGTTACACTACAGAAAAAAAATTACATTTAAGTTAGAGGAGGTATTATGCCAGTTGCAAATAGCAGAGGTGTGTGTCTGTGTGGGTGTAGGAGGACAAATATTCACTGGGATTACAATAAAGAATAATCTAGTTTATATACCACTTTAGGTATATCAAAGCACTCAAATTTCCTAGCTAGTGTTTTTTAAAAAATAATGGCACTGCTAAGTAGACAAAACTAAGGGGTAAAACTAGAGAAAATAACTGCTAATTGCATAAAGGTATATTTTCTGGTTTGAATCTTGCTTCTGTCTACTTTCCAACTGTTGCCTGGATCACTGTGGTACATACTTCTGCATTCTCCTTGTCAAATCTTATTAGTAATGCTTTAAAAAGTGGAGTATCATTTATTGCAAGTTTGTAATGCTTCTTTTTCTCTTTCTTCACTTGCATATTTATGGATCAGTCCTTCTTTTTTGCTGTTCCCTTTCATTTTTTTTATAACCTCGGTTTTTTTTTTTAAAAAAAAAAAAAAACCATGGCTTTCTCAAATGCCACTCCAGCTTTATTTAACAGTTTCTTCATTAGCAACTGCTTACTCCTTGACCTCTTTCCCTGTTGTTGTCATTAACCAGTCAGTCTAATATAGATTTAAGGCCTTTGGGCATAGACTACATTATTTCCACATAGTGCCTAGCACTATGACAAATTAAATAAATGATAACTAATGATAGAAAAGTTATCATTCCTCAGCAATAGCCCAGGACCATGGCATGAGATTAATTCCACCCAGCATGCTATTCTTCCCTCATTTCTGCCGGCAATTATACCTGGAACAGCTTTGCTTAAGTCAACATCATCACCATTGATTCACATTCAGAATCAAACCTCAAGCCTGCATTCATTTCCCTTCTGGAGCGATAAACAGTTCACACTGATATATTATAGCTTCTTGTACGTAGATAATTTGGTATTCATTTTACCCCTGCAAGCATTTTATTAACCATGCATCTCCATCCAAAAATTAATCTAACCCACTGCATTTTGTTAAATCACCCCTGTACATCCGTCCTTCCACAATTTGCAAAAGTAATTGCAGCCTCATTTTCAATCATGAAACAGCAAATCTAGACTTGGTTGGAGGCAGCTGGAATATAAGTCCCTGGACACACATAAGCAGACTAAGCTTTGCTGAAATAATTCTGCTACCACTTCAACAATTTATCCACATAAAAATAAGAGGTTGCCAGAATTCAGATGGATTCTTGGGATGGGGGTGGGGGGCTGTTTGAAGCTTACCTCCCTCCAGCAGTTTGCCTCGGTACACACATAGGTTTTCTCCTCCACAATGCTGTTGATAAATTTTTATTTCCTCTCGATAATCTAAAAGGTCATATGAAAGGTGCACGGTTTTTCCCAAATAGACCATGGTAACAGATGCATTGCTATGTATTTGAGGCTTGCAGAATTTTCCAGCGTCCTGCATAAAAAGGCAGAGAAACATACTGAAATATGTGGAGTTTTAGACATTTGTTCCCATGATATCTCATTCTATTTTGAAATCACTTCAGTACTCACCCATGAACAAGTGCTAAAATTCAAAGGAATTTATACCATCCCAAGTATTTCTTGCACATATCACAAAAAAAGGCCCACCAACAGAAACACGCTGAACTAAAATCTGTATAAAAGTTTGATGAATGAAATTATCCCTAAAGAGCTGCTTTAGGGATACATGAAGCTGCTTTTGACTGCTCTAACAATCTGGTCTAGCATTACTGAATGATTGGCATGGGTTCTTCAGAATTTCAGATAATTGTTTGAAGTTATCTGGATAATGGCTTTAATATCACAATGCCTTTCCATAAAACATCTATGAGACCACTTTCAAATACAATACTGGTTATTGCAACTCCAAAAGAATATTGTGGAACAAGAAAATTGTATCTGTGTGAAAAAAAGTACTGGAACAATTGGAACTTTTTAGTGAGAAGAACGTTAATAGGAAATATAATAAAAATTTGTAAAATTAGGTATGCTGTGAGGATACTGAAATTAAAAGTAATGCTATGATTCTGAAGGGTGGATAGTCAGGACAGTGGAACCAAAGTCATTCTCATACCAAACATAAATAATTACATTTGAAGCTAGATGATATGGTGATGGCACCCATACTAATCATTTTAAAATAGGTTTAGATACTATACATTCATTTAAGTTAATATAATAACTCGGAATCTCACTGTGGATAGCTCCCACACTGGAGCCTCTGATAAATCTAAAAACCTGCTGGAAAAGCCTGAAAAATTTGGAAAAAGAGACGCATGGCATTTCAGCTATATATTTACTTCAATAGACACTCTATTTTTATTTTGTGTATTTTATCTAATGAAAGGAACATCTAGACCACCAGTTCCAGAGTCCAGAATAACAATCTATAAGGTCTACAAGCCCAAAGGGCATAATACAGTATACTTCTCCCCTTTTTAACAATGGATTCTCTAATTGTGAAAAAGAATTGGCATGAAAATATCTTGGTGTCTATGAAAAGGATCCAAATAATCTCTCTCCCTCTCTCCACTCTGTAATAGACAATTTGACAAAATCTATGTTCTCTGATAGAATTTCCCAATGAACAGTCTAACAAAGTAGTATTGCTGTTCATTGCCAAGAGTTTTAATTTCAAAGTGGCCAGAATTAAAAACTCTACTGAACATCAGGAGGTATATGAATTATCACTCTCTCAGTATAGGCAGGAAATGCCCCATGAGTGTTTCCTTTTATTTTTTATTTTTATTCCTTTTATTTTCCCAATATTGAAATTCCAATGTCAGTGGCAAAGCTTATGAAGATTTCTCTGAGACTGGGAGGGGATATCATAGCCATGACCTCCAGTCTTGAAAAATATAAGACTGCAATCTAAAGGTATCAGGAGATTAGAATTTTATTTACAATTAGTTTCATTGGGGGGGGGACAATGGGGGCAGGTCTTCAGGTATGTGTCATAACCTTGGCCTTCTTTAGGAATCTCATACATCTTTCTACCCCATCCAGGTTTGTCCCCAATCACTGCTGTAGGATTGCAAAAATCTTCAAAGACATCACTCTGGGAAAGTATTTCTTCAAAATACTTTGAGTGCTGTCCACTTCTACAAGGTGGATCTGACATACTTAAATCATAATCATATGTAGTTACCAGTAATTGGAAACAAATGGAGTGAAATTGTTTATCTTACAGAGAGCCTCTTTTTACGTGCTTAACTGAAATTCATGGGATTTCAGTTACTCGATTACTTGTGTTTTATTTAGTCATCATCCTTAAGTTCAGATTTATATAACATAACCTTTGCTCCCTGAGACCAAGGAGCAGATATGCTTCCTGACATAGGACATTACATACCTGGGGAAAAGACATGACAACATAGTAGAAATGATTAGGTTTATGAGTAATATTCGAGTTCCTGCAAATTCAACAGCTTGATGTCCTTAACTTTAAATTTTATTCAAGGATTCTATGTTTAGGCTTCTTTGGTTACAAATAAATAATATGTCTTCAACCTGTATAATTTTGAGTTCTTTAATATCATGGACATCACATATAACATTTTTTTCTAAAAGTATTATTTGTATATTTAAATGCAGCTTCTCTAACTAACAGGAATACTTAATCTTCTGCAAAAGGGCTTATCTTTCTTTTCCAAATTAGTTGGTTTATAGTATCAATCTATATCCACTTTCATTACCAAGGTGCCTTCCCCAAAAGAGAGCAAAAGCTTTCTGATGGCAATTTCTAGAATTCACAGCTAACATTTTTGCATTGCTGTAGGTTGGGAAAAGGTACTCTATATTTTGAAAAATATTTTAAGGAAAGCTTGGATGAAATAGTAATACAATTCAATTCAGAAGAATGGTTCAAAGTGTTACATTTATCTATTCAAAAGAATATTAGAAACAAAACCAAGGTTTTACAGGAAAGGAAAACGTACTTAAGCAAACTTCCTTTATTTCAAAAGATGTATCTCTGAGTGCATTTAAAAAGATGGGAGAGAGGCATTTCTTTTACAAAAAAAACCTATCAAGGAGTATTTCAGCACATCTTTATATACTAAGTAGAGGACATTACAAAATTACTTAAACAAGAAAAAAAAATGCAACAGTAGGAAGAAGAAGAATCACCTTCATTAGCAACTGCTCCAGGCCATTTGATGAAGTTGTAGGACGAAACCGTCGACCTCTTCCCACAGGTTTCATGGGGATGATAGTTTTGTCACTTCTGGGTGGTTGTGGAATAGGTATCATATAATTGTTAATAATGGGAAGTCTGTATGGGGATACTTCAACTGAATAATCCATTGAATGCACAGGCCTTAACATCCCTCTGTCTCCCTGAAAAAATTGAACAAATATTAATACATTAACACTTAGACTCACAGAGCAGTTGAAAGGTGCTTAGCTACAATTTTCCATTTAGTAGTTCCATGCATAAACAGTGTATTTCTTCATTGTTGTTGCTTTTAAATTAAATTTCATTTGGTTTCAGCATGGATTCCCAGTTAAAAGAGATTTCTCATTCCTGACTCCATGTATAAAATAGATTATTGCTTGACCCCATTTTGTAATAAACAATTGAGGTTCTTGACAAGGTTTTAAAAGGCAGCTCATAAGTGCAACAGGATCAATCATTACTTTTGGAAGAAAAATCCATCTGGTTCAGTTCCAAGATGGGAGAAAAGCACTGGAAACATGGAGGCTGATTGGAAAGATGGCTTATTGATGAAGCAGAACTACATGTGATTCTGGGCAGCTGACAAAATGGAATTGGGGAGGGGGAGTTATACCTTCTTTGGGCTTTGTATTTGAACTTCCTGTTCCTGTGCAAGAACGTGTATTCTATTGGCTGTTGTCAGATTACTATGGGGGTCATGTAGGGGTTATGTAGGGGTCATAGCTGACTCTATAGGCAAAAGAGGAAATGCAAAACCTAGGTGCTCGTCTGAGGTAATCTGGTCAACCTCTGGTTTATTGCTTATCTGAGCTCCAGGTTTCCGTGACTTTGAACTGCTGGGGGATGATGCAATGAAGGTGCTTTGGACTGCTCTGGGCTGCTTCTAATCCTACCATTCTGCCTCTGTTTCAAAATATCCTGTCTTCAATGGATTACCAAATCTGCCTTTCTAAAAGGTGGCCTCCTCAGTTTCTGCTTGGGGGCAGGGAAACTGGAGCTGTTTTAAGAGCATGTTTCTCCATTTCTCCCTTTGGAGAAATATAATATTCTGCCTTTTTAATATTTCCCAAAATATTTCATTCTTCTAGAGGGTAGGTGCTGACTTTCTACATTAAGGTCCAATCTATGAGTCAAGATTCTGAACTAGAGGAATAGGTTTGACATATTCTGATCTTGCAACTCAGGAGCCAGAGGGGCCTCGGGTATCTGCTCAAGAAGAGCAGGACCTGTTGGAGGAGGAGCCTGCAGTTCTGAAACAGTCAGGTAAGCTCTCACTTGACATAGAACCATGATGGCGAACCTATGGAATGTGTGCCCGAAGTGACATGCGGAGCCATGTCGCCTGGCATGCGCAGCATAGCCCGTTCCTCTTCCGGGTTTCTGGAACACATGCGCACGCGATGATCAGCTGGCCTTTGTGCATGTGGCAGTGCCGGAAACTGAAAGAGCTGGTCTTCCATTTTCCAGCGTGAGCATGCACACTGGCCAGCTGATCCTCACATGCGCATGCATGCCAGAAACCGGAAGACTTGCTGGCCGGTGCACATGTGCATGCCAGAAACTGGAAGTACCTTATCCGGCACACACATGTCCCCTGGGCAGTTCTTCTTCCTGGTCGCGGCCTTTCTCGGTGCACACGAAGTGCTCCCTTTTTGGCACTTGGTGCAAAAAAGGTTCACCATCACTGACCTAGAACCTGAGCTGAAAAAGATCCACAAGTGTTCTTCTACAAAAAGTACAACAGCACCCTTCCAAAACCGAGTGGCTGTGGCTTCCGGCGTCCCGATATAGCCAGCTGGTGCCATCGCTGACTATTGGGGGAGAATCACTGGCCACGACGGAGAGGGCTCGCAACTTAGGTGTCCTCCTGGATGCACGGCTGTCTTTAGAAGAGCATATGACGGCCGGGGCCAGGGGGGCTTTTTATCAGGTTCGCCTGATACGTCAGTTGCGTCCCTTTCTGGATTGGGACTCCCTATGCACGGTCACTCAAGCACTCGTCACTTCCCGCCTGGACTATTGCAATGCTCTCTACATGGGGCTCCCCTTGGGGTGCACCCGGAGGCTGCAGTTGGTCCAGAATGCGGCCACGTGGGGGATTATGGGAGCGACGGGGCGCTCACACATATAACACCTCTCCTGCACGAGCTGCACTGGCTTCCTGTGGTCTTCCGGGTGCGCTTCAAGGTGTTGGTGACCGCTTTTAAAGAGCTCCATGGCTTAGGGCCGGGGTATTTGCGAGACCGCCTTCTGCCGCCAATAGCCTCCCACCGACCGGTTCGCTCGCACAGAGGGGGCCTCCTCAGGGTGCCGTCGGCCAGACAGTGCCGGCTGGCGACCCCCAGGGGGAGAGCCTTCTCTGTGGCAGCACCTGCCCTCTGGAATGACCTGCCCCCTGAGAAACGCACGATATCAGACCTCCTGACTTTTCGTTGGGCCCTGAAAACACACTTATTCCAACTAGCTGGGCTGGCTTGATCCCATCCTCTCAGTTTTTAATTTGAATTCGGTTTTAATTGGTTTGTTTTAAACTTGGGCCAAAATTATTTAATTGTTTTTTAAACTGTTTTTTAAATTTTATATGCTATGTTTTATCTTGGCTGTACACCGCCCTGAGTCCCGCAGGGGAAGGGCAGTATAGAAATAAAATAAAATAAAATAAAATAAATAAATAAATGCTTGAATCAGGGCTATAGCAACACATGCTTGGGAGTCAAATTTCTTCTGGCAAACCACTTTTTAACTTTGGACTTGACTTCCTGGATGTATGCTGCTTCTGATTCCCTGACTGACTTCTGAATGTACAAGATTCCACTTAGCTTTTATTCCCACACCTTGGGTTTATCTGCACAGTGCTTCAGCTTCTGGAATAAAATTGTTTGTTTTTCCTCAGCTTTTACATTCCTGCACTGTGGGTGGGATTTATAGACACTATAAACAGCATTTTTTCTAAATCTGACTTCTCACAAATTGCTGGTTGAGGATCTAAACCGAATTACTATTTGAATGCAGAGATACTGTTTTTTATTATTAAAAATGCATTCTAGAAAAGCTAAAAGTGAGATACATATGGAGTGCTAGCATCAAACCAACTTTTGCCTGCCATTGGTCCTATACACCTATTGGATTTCCACACTTAGTTTTACCCATATTGTATGGGACTGCAAGAAATTTAAAACCAGCAGCACTTAAAAACTATGATTTCTAAAGCCAGAAACAATATGAGGTACGTTTAAGCTGAATTTGAAGACTATCTTCCCATATTTATGGTGTATTTTAGAAGCTGAATTCAATACAATTTATGGATAAAGTCGTTGCTATTGTAGGGTGGGTTTTCCCCACTCTAATCAAACACCCCATTTTGCACTAGCTGATCACTTGACACTTTGCAGTGTGTATGTGTATGAATGATTTATTAGTAGTCTTAATACATTAAACAATTGCTTAATTATTAATAAAGTATTATTAAATATTAATAAATGCAGAGGTCAACTTTAGGCTGGAGCCAATGTGTATAGGTGGGCCTATTCATGCCATTTAGATGTCCTTATTTTTATTGCCCCACCAAAGCTCCTGTGGCCTAGGTTTCTCCTTTTTGTGGCTGCTATGTCTCCTGTCACTATGTCCTCATGGCTGTCTTCCAGTTAACACAATTAGGCCAAGAGAATTATCTCCAAACTACGTCTAGACCAGTGGTGAAATTCAGCTGGTTCTATCAGGATCGTACAATCCGGTAGCACTGGTGACGGGAGACTCTGTCCGGACGTCATCATGTCCCATTTTTTACCCTCTGCACATGCGCAGAAGGCTCTGCACATGTGTGGAGGAGGCGCACGCACTCACATTTGCAAACTGGTAGCGAAGATAAGTGAATACGACCCCTGGTCTAGACATTTGGTTTCTGTCATTATAACCACAACACTGCTGCATAAAACAATATTTTAGGAAATATTTTGATCTCCCAAGCTTTCAGAAGCTATAAACTGATTCCAAATTTATTCAGAAGAGCAGTAGTACTGGGAATTAGATCTTTGTAGAGTTTCAGAAAGGAGTTTTTCCCTCCCCCCCCCATTATATTTGTCTCTATATACATGCTATAAGCTCTATGGGTCAACTTGGGTGAGTCCCTCTCTCTCATCCCAGCCCACCTTACAGGATTGTTGTTGTGGGGAAAATAGGAGGAGGAAGGAATATTAGTTATGTTTGCTGCCTTGAAATATTTGGAAAAATAATAAAGGGAAGATTTTTTAAAATCTTTAAAAAAAACAAATAGTGAAAGAAAGGAAAGAGGAACAAGTTCCATTACAGAAATAGTGAATATTCAGCTAGCTTTCAAGCAACATCTAATCTTCAGAGGCATCCATGCTCTTCAGCAGTGAAATCCTTTGCAACTTTTCCCCCTTCCTCTATTTTCAGCAGCTGTTTCTCTTCTATTTATTTATTATTTATCTATTAAATTTATTTGCTGCCTATCTCAATAGCAATAGCACTTAGATTTATAAACTGCTTCACAATGCTTTACAGCCCTCTCTAAGCAGTTTACAGAGTCAGCCTATTGTCCCCAACTATCTGAGTTCTCATTTTACCGACCTCGAAAGGAGGGAAGGCTGAGTAAACCTTGAGCCGGTGAGAATCGAACTGCCGAACTGCAGTCACCAGCAGTAGTATGCAGTCAGTTGGCAGTCAGCAGAAGTAGTGTACAGTGCATTCTAACCACTGTGCCACCACTCTAGGCAGTTTACAACAATAAAAAGGAAGAAGTGAAAAAAGTTTAAACAAAACAGAAGTAAAATAATAGAACAAAGTAAACAATGAAAAAGAAAACGAGAACATCAAGACCAATAGGGGTGGAATCAGCCATCAATCCAGCAGCCACCTCCAGCATGGAACTCCCCCACTGGGTCTCTTTAGATGACTCACCCCCATTTGCAACCAATTGTAAGAAATAATTACCCTTTATTGTTATCAACAGAATTCATTCTGCATTACTTCCCATTCTATTTTTCTTTAAATGTGCTAGATTATTCCTTGCGCATGATTGTACAAATGACTGTATATCCTCATTCTTCCTATTGTACTGCATGTGTAAAGGAACAAATGCTAACCTCACTAGTAAAATGATATTCTTTGTCAATGGTGAGAAACTTTGGTCTGGAGCTCAAACCAGTCTTTGATGAACCTTCAGTCACGACATTTCCGTAGAGGGGCTGAAGTCGGAGTGGCTGTTGTATGTTTCCTGGAGCAGTACTTGGTCGAGGATAAGAAATCTGCACCATGAAAAGACACGGAGGTAAATACTTAAGTTAGGTTGGGTAAACTGGTACTCTAAAACCACTGGGTTTGTAATAAAAAACACTGAGAGGGTACCACACTGCCTATCCCTAATTTAAAAACATGTAGCTTATGCACATTTCTGAAAACAAAATTGTAATCTGTCTACATTTGGACCAGAGTTAGGCTGCTGCCGGTTTGGACTGATTCGCCTGAACCAGTTGTTCCGATTCTGCGCGGTTCAGAGAACTGGCAAATCGGACCACCAGCTGGCCCTGCCCCTGATTGTTTTTTGGGCCATTTTCAGGCATTTTGGGGTCATTTTTCAGGCCATTTTTCAGGCCAAAAAAGGCCTGAAATTGCCCCCCAAATGGCCTGAAAACAGTCTGAAAAATGGCCTGAAAAAGGCCCAAAAAAGCTGGCTGTAAGAGAAAGAGAAGCTGGGTGAGCCGGACCCAGACATATCTCGGGTCCCCTTGTCCCAGAGGCAGAAACCTCATACTCTTCCCCTCTCTGCTAGCCCCCTTCTTCGCACGGGATTGCCCAGCAACAGAGATGGAGAGGGAGAAAGGGGAGGCATTTCTGTGTGCCCCCGTTTCTTTTTTTTTTTTTTATTGAAAAGTTTTACAAAAAGTTTACATATTCCCCCCCCCTTCCCTACCTCAACCTCCCCCCTCCCCCCTCCCCTTCCCAGAACAAATTACAGGGTATAAACTTCAACAATCATAATCAATCCTAGTCTAAACAATTATGACATTCCACATCTCTTGTTTCTTCAATTCCCTAATTACCCGCCTGGCTTTATTACTTAAAGACACACTAAATATCTATATAATCATTCATAACCTATCTGCAATTTCTTATTCCGATATTTATTTTGAATATAATCTATCCATCTTCTCCAGTCTCTTAAATATCTTTCATTTGAATGATCCTTCAGGTACGCCGAGATTTTTGCCATTTCCGCTAGATTTGTAACTTTCATTGTTCACTCTTGGATTGTAGGTAAATCTTGCTTCTTCCAATATTGTGCCACCAACAGTCTTGCTGCAGTTATTAAATTCAAAATCAATTTGGTCTCTATAACTGTACAATCCGTAACTATACCCAAAAGAAACAGCTGTGGTGTAAATTTCAACCTCTTTTTAAGAATATTTTGTAAAATCCACCAGATTTTAATCCAAAACGCTTTAACCTTTTTACATGTCCACCAAATGTGAAAATAAGTAGCATCCTCACAATTACATCTCCAACATTTTGGTTGTACATTCGGATACATACGAGATAACTTTTTTGGATCTAGATGCCATCTATAAAACATTTTATAGAAGTTCTCCCTTAAATTTTGCGCTTTGGTAAATTTCACATTTGTTACCCATATTTTCTCCCACGTTTCCATCATTATTGGCTGTTCAAAATTCTGCGCCCATTTTATCATACAGTCCTTAACTAGCTCTGTTTCCGAGTCCATCTCTATCAATATATTATACAATCTTTTTATATGCATTGGGCTTTGATCTCTAATTTGTTTAATTAAATTTTCATCACTTTGTATAACACCAGTTTTCTGGTCTTTTCTCCATCTGGCTTGTAATTGTACATATTGAAACCATGTTTGAATTATTTTCTCCTCTTTCAACACATTCACAGATTTTAATTTTAATATACCTCCCTCCATAATGAGAATATCTTTATACGTAATTACGTCCTGTCTACATTCTATACTCGTATTCTCTATTGCGTGCCTGGGTGCTGTCCATATAGGTATTTTTTCATTTAACTTATATTGATATTTCTTCCAGACACGCAATAAAGCATTTCTCAGTATATGACTCTTAAATGCTCTATCCACCCTTTTTTCATACACTAAATAAGCATGCCAACCATAGACCAGATCATACCCTTCAATATTCAATATCCTTCCATTTGTTAAATTAATCCAATCACCAATTGCTGATAGAACAGCTGCTTCATAGTACAATTTAAAATTTTGTGTGCCCCCGTTTCTGTGTGGCACTCTCCCCTCAATGCTAGTGGCCACCGCTACCCCCTTCTCCCTCTCCGTCTCTGCTGCTGTACAATTTCATGCGAAGAAGGAGGCTAGCAGAGAGGGGAGAGTGCAAGGTTGCTGCTTCTGGGATGAAGGGACCCGGGAAGTGTCTGGGTCCAGCTTACCCAGCTTCTCTTTCTCTCGCAGCCAGCTTTCCCGGTCTAGCTTGATGCAGTCTCTCTCTCTCTCTCTCTCTCTCTCTCTCACACACACACACACACACACACACACACACACACAGGTTGGATCTTTCTTTCCTCCAGCCCCCCCCCCCACCCCACCGGAGACCCCTGGATTCCCTCCCCAACCCTGCCTGTCCCATACAGGTATCACCCACACAAGTAATGTAGAGTTAGCCACACTCACTCACATGGAACCCCCAGCCATGCCCACCCAGCCAGTCATTAGGGCAGAGAACCGGTTGTTAAAAAGTGTGGAGCCCACCACTGATTTGGACTTTTGGTTTCAAAAGGGATAGATGGGTATATAAAGGTTTTACGTCTATATCAATTTATATTCGTTAAACTAAATTGTACAAAAGATGAATTAAGTGAAATAAGCCAATACGTATTTCATTCAAATAGATACATGTAAATCAGTGGCTTAGTGACTATTCCAAGTTCTGACAGATGCCCCCTGAGAGCTACTTATGATCCAGTTTGAAAGTTATGGCCACTGCAGAGTTCCCGCAGTTGTTCACTCTTATAACCAACTGCAGGGATGCTGCAGTTCCTCCCCCACAACTCCCCCCACCCTATCATGCTGGATCCTCACAGGCCTCAGCCAGCTTCCCACCCAGCCATTCAGCCACCCAAGGGAGCCTAAAGCCAGGCAGCCAACACTGTTGGTGCACACGGGGCTCTGAGACCTTGTAGGCCGAGGCCTTCTTCCCACTCAGCCACCCAAGGCAGCATAAAGCTGGGCAGCAGATGCTACTGTTGCCTATGGGGCTTTGAGAACTTGCAGGCCAAGGCCTGCTTCCCAATCAGCCCCCCAAGGGAGTCTAAAGCTGGGTAGTGAATGCTACTGGGACATGTGGGTTTTGTGAAAATTTATAAGCCAAGGCCTGTTTTGTAATCAGCCACCTAAGGGAGCCTAATGCTGGGAGGCAGACACTACTAGTGCAGGTGGGGATGTGAGAGCTTGTAGGCTGAGGTCTTCTTCCCATTCAACCACACAGGGACTTGCAAGACTTGGCCTGCTCCTCAACTCTAGGATCCAACAGCACCTAATTTACCTTTCTGTCTTTTGCAGAGACCTGCTCGGCTGATGCAATGCAAGACTCGGCATTCCTATAGAGGTTGCCTGCTTTGTGGCAACCTCATGCTATTCTGTAAGCAAATATTATTATCACGAGCCTCTAGGGGACTCTGTTTTTGGCTTTTAAAGAGGCTCCATTTGTTTGTGGAGTTTGTAGATGGGGGGGTAGGGATCAATAAGAGAGGCCATCTCACCTAACAGCTGTTACCACTTGTGACCATAATGGCCAGGCTCCATTATGGTTGTAAGTCAAGGACTACCTGTATTCAAAAATAGCTATATTCTAATAGAGATATATTTAAAATAGTCATATTATGTAGAAAATAATGTTCGTATAAGAGAGTTCTCATGAAATTAAGCAGGGCTCGTTGTATTGTCATCCCACAAGAGAGTTCTTTTACATGCTAAAAGATCAATTGGGCACCCACACTTGGACACATGAAAAAGTTACATGAATTATAAGCAAACTCGCATGATATAAAATCTTTTTTCTATATATTGGAATTGCTTCTTTTGCTCTAGGTGGTCATGTTATTTTAATTGTTATTTTTCAGTAAAAAAAGAATACCTCATGTATATTTTAAGCCATCCAGTGCCATTCTAGAATTGGGTAGCCTTAATAAATTAAATAAATAAAGATAAGTAAAACCTGTAACATTGACTTTGAGTAGCCAGATCTCCATATTCATGTTTCTTCAAGTATCAAAACACTTAAGGTGATTATAGATACTTCAGTCTTTAAACAAGCCATAGCTTGCTAAGTTGTTAGGAGGATAAAATAAGCATATATGGCCAATTAAGCCACGAAATCGCCAGCATTTTTTTTTTACCAATTCAGTCTAATGAAAGAGAATTTGTTTTACAAAATCATTTCAAATTGGAAGAGAGATTCAGAGAAATTCTCATGGATAAAATGGATGGCAGACTTGTTTAGTTTCCAGATAACCAAGGACTATTTGGGAATATCTTATTTTCACTGTTCAAATTTCTTCAAAGGATCAGCAGCCTTCCTGATTGGCCACACTTCACTAAAATCCCATCTATCCATCTATATACATTTAGTGGAAATCTGCAAATGTCCTTTATAACCACAGCCATATATGGTACCTTTACATCCTTTGGATTAAAAGGGAATAAACATTTTAAGATAAGTTTTCCAGTGTTGCAAATTTGCACAATGTCACTTTGATTCCATTAAACTAGGGCTCCAGCTCCAGGAAACTGTATAAGCAAAATTGAAACAGGACTATGGTTCATCCTACAGAGCCTCACTTGAGACTCACCGTGTGACTTGATGGTCCTCTCTCACCCAATTTGCGCCGCGCAAAGCGATTTCTTGGTACAGTGGGTGGATGTGGGGAAAGCAAGTGATGGGAACCATCTGCTGCCTTTCTCGCTCGTTCCGCCTAAATGAAGGAGAAATGACAGACTTAACATTATATATATATGTACAAGTTACTTTATGAGTAACAGTGAGCAGCCCCCTTCTCCATATCTCTCAGCTGTTCCAGGTGAATCCAACCAGAAATATGACTAGGTGAACTAATTCTGCTTTATTGTAAGGCTAGCTTAAAAGAATCTTGAAAGTCTGAAAGTACAGATTTCCCATGACTACTTTTAACTACTTGATCCATTAGGGTGGGTCATCCCTAATTTTCTTTCTCCAACCATTAAGCCACTGAGGGCTCCTGCCTCTCTTGTTGGATGGTTTCCTAGGCAGCATCTCTTCCCCTTATTCCCCAATGTCATCCACACATTCCATTACAATGTCATGCTGGTGACATATGTGCAGAGATGGTTTCCATTTATACAGCCTGTGCTCTCTAGCAAGGACTTAATTCTATATATAAGCAATCCCTGTCTGTGAAACAGACAGACTCCTGTAGATTCGTGTAAAGGCAATTATCTGTAAAGTTAATATGGCTACTGCAGAGAGCTATACTGTAAGCATATGGCTAAGGAAGGGGAGGGCCTGCTTACTCCTCATCCAGCATCAGTTTGAACATGGAACAGTAATACCTGAACATGGCTTGAGATACCTGAGTAAACAATATTGTTAGGAAATAATGCTCTCTGGCAAAGCTTTTTGTAAATAAGACTTCTACCCAGGAATTCAGCCAATATCTTCAAATCCCTGGAGAATCAAGGTCCACACCTGAACCTTCAAATATTAATAAATTTGCTTTCGTTTTATTTTTTGCTGTCTTTGAGTCACTTATAACTCCTGGAGACTGCAGTCTGTGCAGTTTCCTTGGACATATTTGTGGTTTGCCATTGCCCTCTTCCTAGGGCTGAAAAAGTGTGATCAGTCCAAAGTCATCCAGCTGGCTTCATGTCAAAGGGATGCCTAAAACTGATTATCTCCTGGTTTCTAGCCTGGTGTCTTCAACCACTGTATCAAACAGGCTCTCAAATTGGCTTTCCTATTTATATAAATATAATTATGCCTCGCCATGAGCAGAATGTAACCAAATACCCATCATGAATAGAATAAAAAGTAATGTAATTGCTATATATAGGAAAAAGGAACAGCGCATAAAATCAGATCAAGCGTAGGGCCACTGAATTTATGCTACAAAAAACCAGGACAACCATTAGAGGGCAGCCAGGGCAGGGGTGAAATCCAGCAGGTCCTGACAGGTTCTGGAGGACCAGTAGTGGAAATTTTGAGTTCACAGAACCAGTAGTGGAAATTTTGTATAATTCAGAGAACTAGCAAATACCACCTCTCGCTGGCCCCAGAGTGGGGTGAGAATGGAGATTTTGCAATATCCTTCCGCCAGGAGTGGGGAGGGAATGGGGATTTTGCAGTATCCTTCCCCTGGAACGGGGTGGGAATGGAGACTTTGCAATATCCTTCCCCTGCCATGCCCACTAGGCCACGCCCACCAAGCCACTCCCATAGAACCAGTAGTAAAAAAAATTGGATTTCACCACTGAGCCAGGGAATTCAGTAAACTCTCTTTTGATGCTGTCTAGCAATCATGGAGACTTTTGCAATCCAGAACTGATAGCCCTAAACAAATATGTATCTCCAAGTCTTATCAATGGCAGTCAATTCTAGTCCTGGAAGGAATCAGGGATTCTTTTCAAAAAGAGAGAAATCATTACCTTGGTTCGCTGGATCCGCTCTCGCTTTGCCGAAGTCTCAACTTTTCTTTTTACGTCACCCTGGTGATGTCGCTAATTGGTCCATTTTTAAAGAATAAAAAGTAAAGACAAAATCACATTTCAGATGTACCATATGGTTACATCATTCCTAGAGCACATAACACTACTCTTGAGTTGTTACACCTTTTATCTTTCCTCCCAAAAAAGTGATGCTTTTTTCTTTCTTCTTCATAATCTCTTTTGGATAGTAGGACTGAAATTCTTTCTTGTTTTTATATATTGCTCTGGTGGCCTTTGGGGAGGAGTGAAGAGCATGACTTTTTAAAATATAAATAGAGAACAAAGTCCCCCACCCAAATGGTTGGTCAAATTTTGATTGTGTAAGCTCATACCAAAGAGCAAGTGAGTGAATGTCAAGTGATTAAAGATATGAGCTTTATTCAAATAGCTATTACTAAAACATGCCCAATAAGTGCTGCATAGGCTTCAAAATTCTCCTTCATGCAAGCAACCTGTTCCTTTTCTTTTATTTCCTTCTTCCTTTTGTCTTTTCAAACCACATCTCCCAGCAAGTAACACTTCCAGCCTAGTTGATAATGATGATTTATATCCCTTTTAAGAACACCAGTAGTACTTGAGAGCACAACAGAAGAGATGGGATGGGGAAATTATATAATGCTTTAGCTGTCTGTGAAACATTATAAAATCCAAATGTAATTCTCAGCGTGCACGCAGGGGCAAAATGGGGTACCTGTTTCGACAACATTTTGTCCCATTTTCCGCAATGCATCACAATAATTAGGGAGGCTTTCAGCAGAATGGAAGGAAAAAGAAGCGGCAATTCCCAAACAGACCAAACATTTTACCATTGTGAAATGCATTGTGGTCACATGACACATAATTAAGCACTGCAGTTTCACCACTCAATAATGAAGTAATTTTCTAAGATGAATGCGGTGAACAAAGCCATCACCTATACCACAATAAGTGAAGAGGGCTGCTTAAGTATTGAAAATTTATCTGGACAGGTACAAGCATTTTCCCGATGTTTCTCAAAGTTGCTGTTAAAAATGGAGCATGCCTGGTTTCCTTTGCAAGGAAGAATAACAAGACACTCTATACCTAATGAGTTCTTGTGAAAATGTCTTTTAAATGTAGACAGCAGGTGCTGGGTGTGGAGTGTCGTGTCTAACTTAATCCTGAGAGACAACCATTTTCACAGGTTTTTTAGGTAATAGGCAATAAGCTCGTATGTATAAATCCCTTGGAGATTTGGATCTAGTAACACTTCTGTAAATGTTATAACCGAAGACTGAGATCCTCAAAAATCTTTGAAAAAAAGAACCCAGCAATTTAAAAGCCATTATTTTAATATATGCCCAACTGCTCCTAGGACCGAATCATTTAACAAAAATGTTGATATCTCCTACATTCAGCACATAATGCTTGCATATAAAATAGGAGTATAAAAAAGTAAACTTAGCTGCATTCAGATGAACTGCTAAGGGTGGGTTACTGTAATATTCACTTTCTCTCTGTCACGGCCCCTCAGAATAATCTTTTCAGAAGGAAGCAGGGGCAAGGCAAGGATAAAAAGTGTGGGGAGATCAATCCTGAAGATTCAGTGTCTAGCTCTGATGTCTCAAAAGAATTACTGTCTACAATTCTTGATGTACAATGCTGAATTCAGTGTCTGAAACTAATCTGACCATAGCTAGATAGCAAAAAACCAGACTATCACTAGATGGCAGCAAAGACACTAACCCTCATAACATTTTGGTGCCATCAAGGAAGTCATCTAGATTTTTGTATTTGTCAGAATTCTGACACAGTGCTTATGATTGAAATGTCTTAATTTTAATGTTTCTGAAACATTTTACCATAATCCAGTGGTGAAATGTAAAATTTGTTGCTACTGGTTCTGTGGGTGCGGCTTGGTGGGCGTGGCTTGATGGTGGGGGTCATGTGAGTGGGTGGACGCGGCCAACTTTTTTTTTTTACTTTTTTAAAGCATTTTTTTACTACCGGTTCCAGAAAATAGGTAGTAAAAAATGCTCTAAAAAGTTTTTAAAAAAGGTTCCGTGATTATCGGAACCTTTTTAAAAACTTTTTAAAGTATTTTTTACTACCGGTTCGCCTGAACTGGTAGTTTTTATCACTACCGGTTTGCCCGAACTGGAGCGAACCAGTAGCATTTCACCCATGCTTTAATCCTGAATAAGACCTTGCTTAGTCTCTTGTCTATCAAGAGATCTAAATATTAGAACTAGATTTTGTCCCAGGACTCTTTGGTACATAAGATAGGGCACTTGTCCCTGCTGGCTCCTTCTCCCATTTCTAGCTAATTTAGGGCTTGCTGTGTTCTCTGCATGGTCCTTTGAAGAGTAACAAACTGAAAATAAAACATGGGTGCTCTCCTTTTACATGCTCCCATGAACAATAACAGAATATACAATAAGACCCAAACAAGCTGTACTGTTCAGGAGAAAAATGCAGTGATCTTAAGTAGACCTACTCAACTATATTTGTGCAGCTTACTGTGTTGTGAAGACACATCCTTAATTAGCCCATCAAAACTAAATCTTGAGTGTGAAATCACAAGCTGGCAATATGGATATACTGGCATGTGGACTTTCCTAAACATGGATTTTTTTTCCTCTTTGTTTTATATTTACAAAGCAATTAGGTTTGAAAAGGTATTCCATTTATGAATTCTTTTTAGCTTATGCACTGTAGTCACATGAAAATCCCCAGGCACAATAAGAAGGCCCCATAGCAGTGTTCCATTTGTACTTAACTGCCTCATGAAAGAAAAAAAGATCTGTCTGTAAGATTGAATAGGCAAGTGTTGTCATATATTGTGTGTGATGTATGGATGGGCCCAAGTATAGGTGATGTATTTTTGAACAAATGAGGGAGAGAATGCGAGCTGGTAGCCCTGATGCAGGATAGTAACATCAATTTTTTTCAACCACAGAAAGGAAAATGTCATCAGCAGGGCATTTGTTGAGGATTTTTAAAAATAAATAAATGATTGTCATGGAAAAACAACAAAAAGGTAGTGTATGCCCAATGTAGCTCATAAATAAGTAAAATTCTCTGATATATGAGATGATCAAAATCTTTACATGGTAGCCATACATTTCCGCTACCACTTCTCATGTTGGAACAAGTTTAATTTACATTCAAAATATATACTATAGTTTATTTAACAAATTTCACCAACTTGGTGCCCTCCAGATGTTATGGATTAAACTTCTATCATGGCTGGGCTTTAATGGAGATGCAATCTACTATATTTGAAGGACCCAGATTAAGATGAGCCATTATTTTTCATTCCAGCAGAAAATGCAGAAAGAAGAATCATCATTAAAAGCCACATGAGATCTCTTATCTCCATCCCAAAAGGCCATGCCCCATCGTCTCCTTTTCACGGGCCCTATTTAGATTTTTCTTTTTACCCCCAAAGCGTTCCTCACTATCCTTATCTATTCAATTTTCTTTTTTATCTCAGGAAAGGAAATGGGGAGAAGGGAATATAAAAATTTCTATTATACTCCAAACCAAGTCATAGGTTTCCGCTGCCATCTTTTGACTTCCAATGCAGATTTCGGTCTGTTTATATATAGGAGGAAGGGTAATGGAAGTCCACAACAAAACTTTCTTTGGGAATTCCATTGGCAAACTGTTGAGATCTCCTGGCTTAGATGATCCATAAGATTTCTTCAACGATTTTGTCTGTGCGAGGCGTTTCTGATGTTACCAGATGTTTGATCAGCTGGGGGGAAAGTGATAGTCACTTCTAAATAATCTCCATGTTTGTGCAAGTGTGTATGTGTATGCACATCTGACCTAGGTGATATCTCCTTAGAATTCCAAGATTCTAAGGCAGTTGGTCTCAACTGCTGTTTTCTGTTCGTTAGGGAAGTAGCACATAGTTTCTCAACTTTGCCAAGAACCTGTATAAAATGAATGCTGACTTCTTAGCAAGGCTCAGAGACCTAAATTTCTTTAGGGGGCTACTCCTGAACCATATCTCTGAGTTATAGGTGAAACCATGGGAAACAGTAGCATCACAAAGGAAGTCAGAAGGTAGAAACAACTGATAGGTGTAACCAAGCTAGGATGAGGCCTACCTCCAGCCACGTTTCCACTTTTTGTGTGAATGAAATAGCGTCTGCTCCTTCCTTTCCTTCCTCACTCTTTACATCTATGCTTTTGTTTGTTCTTGCCAGTTTCCCATGACCTTTGGTGTTCACATGGGTAGAAGTAAGCATTTTTCTGATGGGCTGTGACCAGTTCTTGAGTACACAGATGGGACATGACCTCCTGCTGTCTTTCCCACAGGAGATGACTGTGTGGAATCTAGTGACCAAGGGCTACTTACATTCTGAGGTCTCACCAGTAATCTGGCCAATTACAAGTCTCTTTGCTTCTTCCCTTAACTTCATTATCATCATTTATTTCTAAAACTATGGATTATCTTTTGACAACTAATTTATCTCTCACTTAAGGCATGCTCTTAGAATTGATACTACATTAATAAATCTAGAATAAATGAAATTACTAATTCTCCATAGTCATAGTCACTAACACATGTTAGAAGCACAGATATTCCTTAGGTCAGCGAATAAATACAAACTACTTTTGAAACAAAAATTAAGCCTTAAAAATGTTCTGCAAGTTAACATCAGGCTTCGCACCAGTTGATCATCATTTTCCAGATGCTCAATCCCTTACTCAGGAGTTGATTATTCTTGCAGAAGGCTCTCTAGATTAGAAACTTTATCGCAGATAAGAATGAAGCCTCTAAACCAACAGTTGATTGCCCAGAACAAAGAATCAAAGCTTGAAATATTTATGCTGCAATGTTTAAAAGCTCAGCTTCATCACCATCTTTCTAAGCTAATGGGCTCTTGGCTAGTCTCTTGATAGCCTTGGTATTGGGGTGGATTTTCATAACGGTTTTCTCTAGCTTACGAATTGCTGGTTCCTGCCTTGCCACCTTCATCACTTATTATTAGGACAATTCTTCTGCTCTGATGTATTCTATTGATCATTACTAACTCACAATAATTGTCAAATACCGTATTTTTTGGAGTATAAAATGCTCCGGACGATAAGACGCATCTACCTTTTTTGGGGAGGAAAACAAGAAAAATAATCTGCCACTGCCTCTGCCTCCCAGCAATTTGCCTCGTTGCAGCAAACAGCAAACAGCAAGCTTTAGTTTCATTTTCGTTTTCAGCACAGCCTGATTAGCACAAGAAAAAAAAAATCAGCCTCCCAGCAATTTATCTCCTTGCAGCAAGCAGCGGAGGCCCACATGGCAACAAGCAATGGCAATCCCTGCAGCCTGAAACAGGTGATGGTCGGGAGGCCAATCCAACCGACAATCAACTGCTTGTGCTAATTAGGCTGTGCTGAAGCTGAAATGGGCTGTTTGCAGTTTGCTGCAAGGAGGTAAATTGCTGGGAGGCAGTTTTTTTTTCTTGTGCTAATCAGGCTGTGCTGAAGCTGTAATGGGCTGTTTGCAGATTGCTGCTTGCTGCAAGGAGGTAAACTGCTGCGAGGCAGAGGCCAAAGGCTGGGGGCCAGTGGGTGGACGGGGCTACATTCGGTGTATAAGACGCACCCAAATTTTCACCCTCTTTTAGAGGAGGGGGGAGTGCGTCGTATACTCCGAAAAATATGGTATGTGAAAATGAATAATTATAATATACTGATAGTTACTAATCAGTGGCATAGATCTTCCACTAATCTTAAAAACATTTATACCTGTAGACATTCTCAGAAATCCTGAATATATGAATATTACTTATGTGAAGAGTAGCCATAATATAACCATACTTCCATATCTAGAGCTTTGTGGAAAATAGCCTGAGCCAAGCATTCCCGTATATACTTCTGATGATCCTTCTTCATGGCATTTAACCGGTATTCCTTGTCTGATATTATTTTTCCACTTCTTGAGATCTGTCATGAAGAAAACAAAATATGCAGACAGAGTGTATTAGGGAAAGGGGATGTAAGATTTATACAGCTTCTCACCATAAACTAAAATATTTTCAGCATAATCTTAATCTTTTCTCAGGGCATGGAGATTAAGATAAACAAAGATTGCTCTATTTCTCTCCAGCAAAAATGTGATGTTCTACATAACCAAGATCTGATTGTATATGCATTAGGGAGACAGGCTAGGTTCTTCTGACATAAAGTTTTCCTTGCATTACAGCATGGGTGAACATTTTTTTTCATCACAGACCACATATTTACCCAGAGGATAAACTAATAGACTGTTTAGTGGGCAATGCCGATGCATGTGGTGGATAGGAATACCCTTCCTCTTCCCAACACCCTCCTTTTTCTTTCCCAAGTTTGTGGTATAGGGAGTTGAACTGGCTTTCTGGATTTAATAGTATTAGCAATAGCACTGAGACTTATATACCACTTTGCAATGCTTTATAGCCCTCTCTAAGCGGTTTACAAAGTTGGCATATTACCCCCACAATCTGGATCCTCATTTTAGCAATCTCAGAAGGATGGAAGGCTAAGTCAACCTTGAGCCTGTCAGGATCGAACTGCTGACAGTCGGCAGAGTTAGCCTGCAATGCTGCTTTCTAACCACTGCACCACCACGGCTCAGTGGTTAACATGAGCCCAAGAAGCCTTTGTGAGCTACAACTTTTTATAACTATGTTGGTTATTATAACTGAAAGGAGGATTTCAAAATCCAAACGCTGAATTGCTGGAGTTCAATTTTGTATCCTTTTCAAAACACACATCCTTTCAAGCATTGAAGAGTTGCCTTCCAATTATCAACTGGAAACATGCTCTGACATACCAGATTTATGAAGCCACTCGAGAACAAATCATGCCTGAAAAAAGTATGGAACAGCAGCCTAGTAAGAAATAGCTTAATATTAAGCTTTCTAGTTGGTGCCATTCATGGGTAGAAATGATTTAATATAACTATGCTAAAAGCCTGAGCTTTGTGCCAAGATAGCAAGTATACATAGAACCTAATCAATCCATGTCACCAAAAGGTCTCCCATAGAATTAAAATAGGTTGCTGCTGTATTATTGATAGTGAGCCAGGTTTATTAAGATGGAACAAAGCTTCAAATTCCATTAATACTTCTTCATCAGTCATTCTCAGTGTGTTAGACATCTTGAGCATAGAACAGGCTTATTTAGCTTCAAATGTCACTTGAAAATGCTAAGTGGCTCATTTGGTGGCATGATTCTCCTCTAAATGGCTTCTATTCAAATGCCTTTTGACCAAGCAGTCTACTGTTCTATATTTCCGAAATTATCTGTTGGATTCTCATTTATCTTTTTTCCTGTTTCCTATACAACAAGCCAACACCCACAAAAAGTTCCATAGTTGTTATAATATACTAGAAAACTGTCCCCCTCCTTTGAAACTTAAGAGTGCCTTTGTGTAAAAACATATAATCTGAGTATCTGCATGGAAATCCCACTAGATTAAATTACAACCCCAGGCACATATACTAAATAGCAAATACCATTCAACTGTGCAGGATATACTTCTAAGAAAATATCCATCTTGGATGTCTGTCAATGCACCACATGATCAGTGGTGGGTTGCTACCGGTTCGCCCCGGATCGGGGCGAACTGGTAGCAGCAGCAGCAGGAGGCTCCGCCCACCCACCCAGACGTCTCTCCGCATGCGCAGAAGTGGCACGTGTGCCCATGAGCAAACCAGTAGCGGCTGAAATTGGAAACCTACTACTGCACATAATGCCTGAGTTGGTAGGATACAGGCAGCAGTATCTTGGCTTACAAAGTACCTCTAGGTTTTAGATTCTAGCTTACACAGAACAGAATGAGCATACACTGAGTAAACCTAGGCTTTGGTTACACTTCATACTAACCGATGCTGTAGAAGGCACAGGACCAACTAAAACTGGTAACTTATACAGGAAATTACTAAAAGCGTTAAATTGCCCTAAACTATGATATGCAGTGGAAGTCAATAATTATCAGCCTACTTGGTGACAATCATGCTGTAATGAAGGCTGGAAGTTAGAATTTAAGAAAGTAAATGTTAATGAGCATGAATGAATGAATAAAACTAGAGAAAAATAAGAATTCATATATTGATGGCAGTTCTAATATTACATTGCAGATAGCTGCACCTATAGGGAAAACGAGAAGGGTCAGACCAATGAAAGAAGCATTGTGGCACTTATAGTAAATGCCCTGGTCCTCTTCTATATTCATCAAAATATTTGATGTCCAAAGGGGCAGCCTTTGCAGCACAAGCTAAACTAAATTATACAGCTTTCAGATTTTACAGATTACAGATTTTACAGATTTTACTGACTCCAGTAAATGGACTTCATAGAAGAGCCAAACATGAGGTTTTGGGAAAACACTATGCAACATTTTGAATGAATGCAATCCAGAAAGAAAGAAAAATATATAATAAGTGAAGTGAATGGATAATGGCAACTAGATAAAAGATTATAGAAGTGTTTCAGTGACCAAGAATGAATGAGAACGAAAACTGTTTGGTGAGCATCTGCATTGGAAATGATGCATTTCTTTCAAACAGCTGTTAGCAGACTCTATTCATGCATGTACTGTACATGGCAAACGAATTAATATATCTAAAACATGACTGATTTGCCTATTTATAATGAAAGCCTGAGAGAATGATTGAAGATCAGAAGGTGCTAGAAGGTTCTAAATGTGAGACAGGGTACTTTCTGCTAGTTTTAAAAATAAAAGTAAACTGACTGCAGAAAGTGAACAATATTATAACACAGGTTATCAATTAAATTGAATTGAAATTGAAAATGGCCGTAAAAGAAATAGTACTAATGCATTAAATATACTGTATGTGGAATGGTTTTGATAATGTTAGAATGATATTGCTTGCGGACATGAATGTACATGGAAGACCAGAGTACAGGTAGTCCTCAATTTATGGTCGGTCACTAAGTGACCATTCAAAGTTACAATGGACACACACACACACACACACACACACAAAGGTACTTATAACCTGGTTACAAAGTTCTGAGAGCTGGGCCTACCTTACAGCCATTTGAAGTGTGTCCCATAGTCACATGATCATAATTTACAATGTTTTTGCTGAAAACCTTCCAGTTTTTGGCAAAACAACAACAACACCATAACAAACAATGGATTCACTTAATGACTGTGCCCTTTGCTTAACTACCACTGCAAAAAAGTTCATAAAATCACATCAATCGTGTGATTATTCACTTTATGACTTTCATGACTTACGACCATAATGGGCAGACTCCTTTACAGTCATATGTCAAGGACTACCTGTATTTGTAATTGAGACAGGACATGAAGTAAACTTTTAGCTAAGTAACAAAAAAATGTGTACCATAGTGGAACTAATGATGGGAAAATATATGGACACATTTGAACAGATCTCTATATGAAGAAATGCGATAAAACGAATTAGTGAATTGAATTTGCTAAAAAGTAGATATGATGTAAGTAGAGAAAATTTGAAGAAAGTTTAAATGGTACTTCATTGAAGTAGGTACTTCAACACTGAAAGAGTGAGAAAAATCCATTTAATTTTTTTTAAATATACTAATCAATAAATTAAAAAGACTACTAGTAGTGATGATGCAGGTATATTGATAGGGGAAATACATCTGTATATATTTTTCTTTTTTAATAGTAATTTTATTAAATATTACAATTTTTAAAAAGCTAATACAAAATAAAACATAAAAGAAAAATGCAGAAAAGAAAAAAATAGAAAAAGAAAAAAATAATATAGCAAAGAAAAAGCAAAGAACTATATAAAGAAATGACTTCTCCTTTCATCACAACAAGTATAATCAATTTCAGTAACTTATCAATGCCTCTAAAAATACAACAAATGATCTCTAATTCCTATATCTCATCTCTTATCTATAAATGAATCCTTAAATCCTTGTTGTTCTGTCCTGGTCAGCAGAAACTCATTAAACATTGTCAAAGATAACAGCATATCTACTTTAACCTGAGAAGATGGACAGAAAAATCTGAAGATGTTTAATATTCATAGAAAGGCAGTGGGCAGTGAAGAAATAACGTTAAAGGAAGTAAAAACAGTTGTGTAGAAGAATGTACTCGTGCCTACTTTGTTATAGAGATCATAAGATCATCTCATCACCACGGATGATGAGATCATCCGTGGCTTTGGGGTGGAGTTCCATCAGTATGCTGATGATACGCAGCTGTACATCTCCACCCCAGGCCATCCCAACGATGCCCTTGAAGTGATGTCCCGGTGCTTGGAGGCCGTGCGGATCTGGATGGGGAGTAACAGGCTTCGACTCAACCCTTCCAAGACCGAGTGGCTGTGGCTTCCAGTGTCCCGATATAGCCAGCTGGCGCCATCGCTGGCTATTGGGGGCGAGTTATTGGCCCCCACGGATAGGGCTCGCAACTTGGGCGTCCTCCTGGATGCACGGCTGTCTTTAGAAGAGCATATGACGGCCATGGCCAGGGGGGCTTTTTATCAGGTTCGCCTGATTCGCCAGTTGCATCCCTTTCTGGATCGGGACTCCTTACGCACAGTCACTCAGGCACTCATCACTTCCCGCCTGGACTACTGCAATGTTCTCTACATGGGTCTCCCCTTGAGGAGTACCCGGAGGCTCCAACTGGTGTAGAATGCAGCCGCGCGGGGGATTATGGGAGCGAGGGGGTGCTCCCATGTGACACCTCTCCTGCGTGAGTTGCATTGGCTTCCGGTGGTCTTCTGGGTATGCTTCAAGGTGTTGGTTACCAACTTTAAAGCCCTCCATGGCATAGGACCTGGGTATTTGCGGGACCGCCTTCTGCCGCCGATAGCCTCCCACCGACCAGTATGCTCCCACAGAGAGGGACTCCTCAGGGTGCTGTCAGCCAGGCAATGTTGGCTGGCGACCCCCAGGGGGAGGGCCTTCTCTGTGGCAGCTCCTGCCCTCTGGAACGATTTGCCCCCGGAGATAAGAAGGATATCGGATCTCTGGGTCTTTCGCTGTGCCCTGAAAACTTTTCTTTTCCATCAAACAGGGCTGGCGTGAACGCCCCCTTTTTTTTAGTTTTTTTAGTTTTTTAGCTTTTAATCTGTCAGTGGGTTTTAATTCGAATTGTTTTAAATTTGGGCCAAAGTATGCAATTCTTTTAATAATTTTAAATTTTGTATTGGTATGTGTTTTAGTTCTGGCTGTGCACCGCCCTGAGTCCACTAGGAGAAGGGCGGTATACAAATTGAATAAAATAAATAAATAAATAAATAAAATATATGGTATGGTAGTTAAAAGTTGGATTGCCAGAAAAAAATATATTGAATATGAGTTGAATATAGTAGGAACATGAGTGGTGAATAACAAAACAAAAAGGCCACCAACACTGACAGGGCAAACTGTATACCTGTATAAAAACAGAAGAACAAACTCCTTCTACACTGATGATGTTACCTAGTATGGTAATGAAACGTCTGCAAGAAAACAACCAAGCTCAGAGAGCACCAAGGACCCTGAGTTCAACCCTGAGTTACAAATGTTCTTTTTTATAGGTAAACCAAAAAGAGTATCAAGAAAAAATGGGTACTGGACAAATGTGGATCAAGTATGCAAGTGAGTGACCACTACGAAACAATTTAGGTAGCTTAATTATAGACAGAGAGTGAATGATCATCAAATTGCAAACAAATCTATTAAGAAAGAATGGGTCAAAAAGAAGACCAAGAAAGCCATGATTGGATCAAATTTGTGATCCATTCCTCAAAAAGAAACAGTGAGGAGTTTAAATAACAAAAGGCAAGATATGAAGTGGTGCATAGATGTCCTTGAAGCAAGATATTTTATAGATTCAGAAAGTTACAAAAAGCATAGTCAGTTGTGTTGGCCTAAACTAGGTTAATTCTTTTTCTTATCTCATATGTTTTGTTTCCTTGGATTTTTAGTTCATGCTTCTTTTTGTTCTTTGCCTACTGTTGCTTACCCCCAAACTAAATACCGTCACATGACAGGTATGGATTTATGTATGTGCATAAACATGGACAGAATTCTACTGTTAAATGCTTCATATTCCCACTTTATAGGATTTCTTGAATAAAATGGGAGACAAAGAATAAAAAAGAGGCCTCCTTTTCTGATATTGGAAAGTATAATTTGCTCACAGTAAGCATAGCGGATTATTAAGGGAATGGAGGAGAAATACGTTATTTCAAGATACCAAGAAAGTTAGCTCCCTATTCTACAGGCATGCAAACTCTTGACTGAATGTTGCATTACTGACACAGATGAGCTTAGCAAAATTCTTCAATTAAAATTCTAACTGATTGTGATTTGGGATTGATGTCCGTCTCCTCCCCCCCCCCCAGAGAAGGTTAAGATCACTTAACTTTATGAACAAGCAAAAATGGCAATATAAAGCAAAAGAAACCCCCAATCCTTCCACTTAGTAGAGGATTATAACATAAGGGTGAGACAGTACAAAAGAATGGATATTCCAGATGGATCTATTGCTGTACTTCTTCCTGCACTATTAGGCATGTAATGAAACACGGGCTTTCTAGGATGTGCAGCAACCCATTCATTAACCGTTTAAGGTCCACTGAGAGTCATGGTCTACTGAGAAGCAATCCTAGCCCTTTCAGACAAGGAACTGAGTGGGTTAGGATGGTATGAAAGTGCCCTCTACTGGTAGGAAGTAGATTTAGCTGGTGGGGGAGGAATATCATAAAAACAGATCAACCATCTAAATAATCCAGCATTCTAATCTCGAAGTGGTTGACCAGATTCTTCTGGAAGCCACAAGCAGGACAGAAGTGCAAATAGCACCTTCTCATTTATGTTCCCCAACTACCAGTGTTGAGAGGCATTTTGACACTGGTATTGAAAGGAATGTAAGCAGCCTCATTATTGGATTATGTCCCATGAATTTATCCAGTTTACCAATGTGGTAGAATGGTTGAACTGGGACTCGAATACATAGGTTCAAGACTCCACTCAATCTTGAAGCTCATCGAATGACACTGATCTTAACACACTCTCTGTCTAATCTACCTCCCGGCAAAAATGTTTGGAGGATAAAAATGAGAGTGAGTTCCTTAAAGAAAGAAAAGGCAGGATATAAATGAAATAAATCAATAAAGTCACCCAAGTTTGTGGCTACCATTTCATCATGCTGGAAAGACAGACTTACACTACTGAAAGTTTAGGTGATTAGATTTTGGATCTGCTGAATTAAAAGCATACGTCATTTTTTCCATTCTTCTCGAGCTGCTTTAGATATTTTTGGTCTCACAGAATTGAAGGAGAAAAACATTTGTAAAATAGCCCAATTGGTCGGAGACAAAAAAAAAAAAAAAGCCAAGCTATTTGGCTTTTATGTCTGCAGGCTGAGCTCTGTGTGTCAAGGAGCATGTACAAGAGATTGCCGCTGATTCTACTTTTCTGAGACATTCTCTAATTCATCTGTACTCCCCCCCCACCCCATCTTCACCCAATATTAAATGCACAGAATTTAGTTCACTAATCCTACTCATTAAATTCAACAGGTCTAATATTGGAGTGTGAGTAAATTATCATATTGTTAATGCGACTGGAATACTTCATTAAAGGACATGTTTTGCAGTGTCCTAATGTTACTCTGTTTTGGGAAGACGTAATTTACAAGCATTAATTTATTTTTGAAATACAGTTTAATATTTTTGTATGTACATGTTCTTTGGAACTGCATATTTGCAACATGGGAATTGGCAGCTGGACAGCAGAAATGGATTCTCCATGCCATTATTAATGCCAAGAGTTTAGTTCTTCAACATTACAAAGATAAATTTATAGCCTCAATTATTCAGTGGATTGAAGCTGATGTTACTTTCACCCTATGAATGAATTGCCTGCAGTCATAGATTACGCATGGACAATTACAATGAATTGTAAAACAATTCCATTGAAATGGTTACATAAAGAATTTCATATGTATGCATGAGAAGTTCTTATACATACAATTTATCTTGCATTGTTTTTGCTTTTGTTTTATTGAATTTTTTCTCTGTCTTTGTGTTCTGTTTTATTAAATAAATTAAGCAAAAGCAAATATACAATATTGGAGTAGCCATTATTTCTATTAGTTATTACTGTTCCGTGGAACATGGCTACCATGAGAGTTGAAATATTTGGATCTGACATCTCTGCTTTTAATGGTCCCACTTATCCTCCATTTTGACACAAAAGACAGCACCTTCCAACGGCAGTATGTGTGTTCTGAAGACGGGAAGAGGCAGGTCAGATAACTGATTTTGTTCAGATAAGATTGCCAGGTGATTGTTACTTCCTTCCTTCACAGGAATAAGGGAAGGAGAGGGACATGATGACATATGTATATTTTGGTATAAATAACGTGACTTATAGAACATACTTGTATCACATTTCATGACATGATGTAACTGACGGAAATTATGAAAGTATCATCAATAGTACAATGATATGATGTACACATTGTCATTTGATGCCACTGTGGCTTAAAACAGACATCTATGAATACAAGCTATTGTATGAGAAACAGACTGTACCCCAAAATGAAATATGACATCAAAGCCCAATATGATATCAGACTGTTTTCTCAGAAATGGGGATTGTTCTTAGGAACACTGAAATCATTGTAGTTGTAATATTCCAATAGAAATAACAGGTAGCAGCAATACCAGGGATAGAAACTCTAGGCTTCTATTCTGCTTCCAAAGTTACTTACAATTTAACTCCTATTAAAATAACCTTGTAAATAATCAGTTGAACACAGTTACTTGCCTACCACAACTCTTTCTCATGCTTTTTCAGATTCCCACTATCTCAGATAACACTATATGATGACTCAGGTATATAGTATACATACATATATACAAAAGTACATATTCTTACCTTTGTGAAAATATGTGCGAATTCCCATACAGCACGATCTTATGGATGCTTACTCAGAAGTAAGTCCAACAAAATTCAGTTGGTCACTTCTTAGAAAATGAACTTAGGGGTACAGCCTTTATGCATATTGGTTACTATATTATGCTGTCACCTTAATTGGTAACTTTGGGTGCTGTCACAATGATTTATGACAACTGTAATAAAAGTGCATTGGCATGCATTTTCAACAAAGGCAAGGCCTTAGGTCTGTTTTGGCTAGATTTGATTGAAATAACAAGCCTATTTTAATAAGTTTAGGAGAAGAGGCATGAAACAAGGCAAACAGGAAAAATCTTCAGTCATTGCCTAATTATAGTTTTGGACCACAGATTTTAGTTCAAATTATTATACCGCTATCCCTTTGGATAATGCAGAGCCACTCATTTTGTCTTAGTCTAACCAACTTCACAAGGTGTAAGAGTGGAAGGAATCACGTCTGTCTTCTTAAACTCCTTAAGTGAAAGATGGCAAGATAAATCTAGAGAAACTAAGAAGTATTTGCATACCTACCAGTCCTGACCTCCTCAGATGGCGTTTTATCCTGGTGTTGCTGAAATAGCCTGCAAGATGCTTGTCTGTTAAGCTGTTGTAATTTGCAAGGTATCTGAAACAAACATACCAACAGAGTATGAGAATATAGGTTTTGTTTTTTTTTAAAAAAATAGAAAATTAAAGGGTCTCACAATAGCATAGATGTTAAAATCTTTTTTTTTCCCCAGAATTGTCAGTGGCTCTGCCCAAGCCTAGAACCCAACTAAACTGAAGTATATTTTCAGTCATTTACAATTTATCAATGTGCTGGATAGAAAATATGAGAGTCAAATTCTCTTCTGTCTAATAGGGTTAGCTAGGAAAGGTCCTCTATAATTTGATGAGGCTATTGTGTTTAATATAAATACTCCTGCATTGGCTATTAGCTATTCCCAGCTTAGTTTATTAGCTGTAAATTGTGGGGGGGAAATACTAACAATAGTAGCAATAATTCATAGCTAACCTTTAAAATAGCTACAATGACCCAGTGTTAAGCTCTCTGATGTCCATATGTAGCACATTTAAAAGCAAAAACTATGTATCTATATTGCTATTTTCTGTGCTCCACAAAAAGAGAGGGAATGAGGGAGAGAGAGAGGGAGAGGGAGAGGGAGAGAGGGAGAGATTTTAAAACAGTACCTCTTTTAGATATCAAGCCAACCAAGGAGATACTAGCACAAGCACATCATCATAATAAACCTCTCAATGGGCTGAGTCATCATTTTTTTCTGCTCTTTTATTCTGCATTAATCCTATGACTTTGAAACTAGATTACATCCTATCAGGATACTTAGTTTTAATAAACAAAAAACACTCTGATGGTGAGAGGGGGGAAAAAAAGAAAAGAATAAACTATTTCCTTTATAAAAACATTGACAAAGGCAAAAGAATTACAGGAAGTTTATTTTTGGTTTCACAATAATCCCACAGGTAGCCTACACGAGATAAATTAAACTTTAAACACATAATTTAGTTTGCTGTGTTATGCCTGGTGATTAAACACGGGTGCTATAGCAACTGTTTTATGTTACTTTCTTTATCCTGTTGTTTGCATTTGCATCTGAAACTGCCAGATTACAGTAATTATACCAAATATTGATTTAGTGTGCTTTGCTGGCTCTGGTGTTCTGGATGAATTTGAGGGTGGGGGAGGAATGCTTCACCAATATCCTTTTACTTACTTCCTTCTCGGTATTTCATGGCCTACCTAACAAGTTAAAATACAGGAGATTTATCCACTGTGATTCCACATTAGCTACTCTAAATAAGGAAAGAATCAGACAAACAAGCACTCAAGGTTTCATTCTTTACATTGAAAAGACTCGTTACAAAAGACAAAAATTGCTTCTTCGGTGTACTAAATGCCTGTAGTCTTAATTGCCCTAATTCAGAGTTTTAGAGAAAGAAGAAAATGGAAACATTAGTGTTTGTCAAAGAAAGACTGGAAGGAAGCATTGCTGAAATAGAAAGCTGTTTGTTTTTTAAAGAAGATACGTATCTTCTAAAAAAGCACTGTGAAAATGGTTCTTATAATCCCTTAAATTTCTTGTTTGACTGTTACCATTGAGCAGCAGTTCACATGGAGGGTGAACAAGCTGTATCAGAGGTGGTATACAGCAGGTTCTGATCAGTTCTGGAGAACCGGTAGCAGAAAATTTGAGTAGTTCAGAGAACCGGTAAATACCACCTCTAGCTGGCCCCGCCCCCATCTATTCTCTGCCTCCCGAGTCCCAGCTGATCGGGAGGAAATGGGAATTTTGCAGTAACGTTCCCTGGAGTGGGAAGGAAATGGGGATTTTGCAGTAATCTTCCCCTGGAGTGGGGAGAAAATGGGGATTTTGTAGTAACCTTCCTCTGGAGTGGGGAGAAAATGGGGATTTTGCAGTAACCTTCCCCTGGAGTGGAGTGGGAATGGAGATTTTACAGTATCCTTCCCCTGCCACACCCATCAAGCCACACCCACCAAGCCAAGCCCACAGAACAGGTAGTAAAAAAATTTGAATTCCACCACTGACCTGTATGGAGTTAAAAGGAGGCGAATCGGAGAGCCAAAGGATATGTTATGGATTTGTGGAAACAGATTTTGGTAAAGGCTGCTTTGCCAAACTAAATTGGGAATTCTGGGGGTTTAAACTAGGCATTGCAGCAGAGCGGTAATGCTGTTCTGAAAGCATAATGAGGGACAGTCTTGGAAACTAAGTGAAAGACTGATCATGTTGCTGTCTGACCACAAGCTTGTTCATGTTTGATTCTTGGGAAGAAGCAAGGTCAGGCACTAAGTATTTATACTGGAAAGTAATAATGCACTTCAGAAAAATGAGGGCACAGGAGTTAGTGGCCTTATGGTTGGTGAAGACCACAAGTTATCTTTGAGCATTGAAGAAAATGAAAATAATCCTATCTGTTGATATACTGCAAATACAAACTGAATGAAGATATGGAAAAAAAAAAAAAGATTGTGAAGATGATACCAAGCTAATCTGAGGCTGCAGATTCTTCAGGATTATGAAAAATAAACAAGCCATTTACAGTACTCCTGTGAGCCAGCTGGTCAACATATTTGGATGTCTCCACCTCTCCACAGAAGTGTTTCATTTTTAAATTAATCATGGGGGGAAAATGAGCATTGACAGTTTGGTTTTGGTTCTTTGAAGTCACCTGAAAAATTATTATTTTTTTCCTTGAAGCCATCAGAGTTAATACTTTGCTCTCTTTTCGAGATCAACAACTCGTCAATAAAATCCAAGAGAAAAACTGGACACGTACAAAGATCTACTGACCTAACTCATCTGCAACATAAGACTTTCTAGTTTTGGTGGATAACTTCTAATCAGACCTGGCATTCAGCCCCTTTATTTGAAAAATAAAGTAGTGAGGTAGCACAGTTCATAGGAGAGCTTAACTCTTCAAACCAAATTAGCTTTTCTGCCACTCAGGAATTCCAATACAATGGCAGATAATATGACATCACTTGCTACCTGCCTAGATATAGTTTCCACCAACTTAATGAATTGTAAACCATTCACTCAAACATGCACAAATTATTGAAAACCTAGGCTAGGCTTTCTTTTATAAATGCTAATAGCAAACTATTGCACAGGTATAATGTTTACACTGCTGGAAAGAACAGAAGGGAGCAACCCTCTTCCTAGTTACCTGTTCCTGACCATGAATGGAACACTACTTGTTTACCACAACTTTACTGATCATATCTGAGGATAAAAGTGAATAAAAACATCTTTAGGTGAGGCGAGGGAACACGTGAAGAAATTTACTAAGAAGGAACATGCTAGTCAAGATCAAAAGCCCATTTCAATTCAAACTGCCTACCAAAGGTATCATATGGGAAATAGCATTCTCCAAATGGTCTTCTTAATCATTATGGTTCAACGCCAGGCTGTCTGACTCTGAAGGCAGTGTGACGTCAATATGATTAGGAGCCATAGTTTTATCCTTCAATCAATCTGTCTACACAATTAAAGCTGTCAGAATTTATGCCCATTACATCATGTGAAGTGAATTCCAGAGTTTATCCTCTAAGCCACGAATGTCAAACTCAAGGCCGGTGGGCTGTATCTAGTCCACGGGGTACTTAGATCTGGCCTGCAGGGCCGCCTGTAAACAGCAAAAGACATTTGCAGTGCCTCTACCAGTGAAAATGGAGGGGCCTTCCCGAGCTCCGTTTTTGCTGGCAGAGTGCTCAGGTCACCACAGGCGCCCCTGACATGAGTGACATCGAACTGGCCAGGACCACCTGGGCCCCCAAGATCAAACACAACCCTGATGTGGATCTCAATGAAATCGAGTTTGATACCCCTGCTCTATGGGAAGAAATCCTGTTATTTTCCAGCTATGAGTTTTCTACCATTCAGTTGGTTAGATGATTCAGGGATGTGTATTATGAAAAGCGAGAAAGTGTGGCCTTATATTTTGGGGCAACTAACAAGAGAAGGTTTTTAAACATTTATTCTAAAAATATAAACTCACCTTAGCTACTCAACATTGTCTTGTTGTAACTAGAAGACATTTTCTTCCCTAGGATATGTACCAAGTGATTGCATGGACAACATGATTCAGTGGAGGCAAGAGAAATATTAATTAGTCATCTCTAGGATATTTTTTCTTTCTTTGGAAAAGGATGGGCATTGAGACTAATTAACTTGTGCAGTCTTCAGTTCTAAAAGTTTACATGAAGTGTTACAACCAGTGTTTGAAAAAGGGTCCCAGAAAGAGTTGAAATACTACCAGTTCGGATCAGTTCGCACAAACCGGTAGTAATAAAAGCTACCAGTTCAGACGAACTGGTATTTCCGATGATCAGCTGTGCCGCACAATTTATATTCGCTAGAAAGCAGGAAATCCTGCTTTCTAGCAAATCTAAACCACGTGGCACAGCTGTTCCCCCCCCTCGCTATTCTACTTACCTTAGAATTCTCCTTCTTCAGCGCTGTGCGATAGTGCCTGCGGTGCACATGCATGTGAAGCATACATTTGGTGCGCACTGCTTATGCGTGCACAAAACGCATGTTTGGTGTGTACCACACATGCGCACACGCAGTGGGCCAGTAGTGAAGCAAACCGGTAACAGACTTCAGAGCATTTCACCCTTGGTCCCAGAACTTCAGTCATGATAGAGTTCACTTGACAAAACTAAACATCCATAGTAGATGAAACCAAGGTAGACATATATACTCTAAAATTGCTTAGTGTTCAGCAGTCTATCCATCTATTTGTGCAGTGTGCTGATTAAACTACACTCCTCTCAAGTATGGTATCTGTATTGACTTGTCTTCTGCTGTATGACTTCCAAGTTCCAACACTCCCATATTTATTGTAGCCATAGTCGATTATAGAGGAACCCTATATTAATTACAAGTGGCTCTTTTCTACTAATCTTTTCACTCACAAAATTAAACACCTAAACAAATCTTTCAAGGACATTTAGCAGGGATACTTCTGACCCTGACCCTTTCACATTTTAAGCAACCAAATATGCTTACATATATTAGGACTAAAAGAGAAAAATCAAAATCAAAAGTCAATATTGAAAAAGGCCTTTTGAAAAAACCCATG